TTGGCGCCATGCCGGGATATAAAATGAATTTTGAGACAAGAGGCGGTTTCGCGGGAAATTTTGGCGGGATTTTTTTCATTTTTTTAATGAATCATAAAGAAAACATCCTCGCTTGCAAAAAAAATGCAAAGACTGTAAAAAAATCTACGAGACATTGGTAAAATGCTTCGGTATGGATGCTCCTAGCTATTCCACTGTAACGTATCATGTTAGGATGTATCACTTCATGAACAAAAAGGCGCCCATCATAAAAATTGACAAAAAATCGCCGGATCAAAGAAAAATCAAAGCAATTCTTCAAGCGCTAGATGAAGACCCAAGAGCATCACTCAGAAGGATAGAGGAGATGACAAAGATACCACGTACAACAGTCAGTTATTATCTGCACAATTATTTGAACTACAAACTAGCGTATACACGTTGGGTTCCGCACAACCTTAATTCAGTTCAAAAAAAATCTAGAGTCCAATCTTCGAAAGAGCTCCTCTCTATATTGGGTGCGTATCAATCCAAGAAGTTTCGCTTTTTAGTAACAGGGGACGAGTCTTGGTTTCAATATGCAACAGAAGCCAAAATCATGTGGATCCCGAAGGATGAAAATCCGCAAACATTCCCGAAGAAAAAAATTAACACACCAATGATGATGTTGTCGGTTTTTTGGGGCGTGAATGGCATCATCGCAATTGATATTCTTCAAAAACCTAATACGATGAATGCTCAGTATCTAATTGACAATGTTCTTACTCAAATTATCAATTCTGATGGGTTTGAGAAATCCAAACAACAAAAACAAAAGTTTGCAATTCATTTTGATAATTCAAGAGTTCACAAAAGTCATAAGGTAATGAATTACTTGGTGGAAAACAATGTCAAAGTTGTTCCAAACCCAATTTATTCGCCTGATATTGCACCCTCTGACTTTTATTTATTCGGCACGCTAAAAAAGAGAGCTGAAGGACGCGAATTCGCGAGTCCAGATGATCTTGAAAATTTTGTAAGAGAGCAATTTGAGCAATTTTCTCATGATGATTTAAAGCGTGTCTTTCAAGCCTGGATCGATCGCTGCGAACGCGTGATTGAATCCAATGGTGATTATATTTAAATAAACTTTATATATATGTAACTTGTTTATTTCTATTCGCAGTATTCAGGTTTGTGCTAAACACACCTTTGGACACCCTATACTAAAGTATCCCTGAAAACATAATATTTAAGAATGATATCACCAAATGATTTAGGATAATCATCGAACGCCTGAAATGCTAACAAATCATTTACCGGAATAATCATATCAAAAGTGACATCAACTTCTTCATTTGCTTTCTTGAAAACTTCTGAAGGGTCAATATATTTACCACATACTGAGTTATCATATTTTTGAACATTATTATATAACGAATGAACAAACTTTTTAACTTTCCTTTCTGATTTTGGTTTATATGTTGCAAATGCGAAAGATTCACGGGCGCAATCCATCTGAAGATAACCGGCATCACCTCTTTCGGTTTCTACTTCTAATTGTTTAAAGCTTTGATTTGATGATTTGTAACCAACGAATAAACGCATGCATTTAAAAGCGGCATCACATGTGAAAGCTTTATTTGAAACTAGAGTTGCTTTAACTTTGCGTTTAATATATGTGTCACCTAATTGATTCACATCATGAGCTGGATTTGTAATTCTTAAATGAGTTTGTTTATCATCAAAATATGGAGCATCAGAGTCATAGCAAGAACTTTCAAGTTCTCTATAATATCTTCTACCGTCATTCTTTGCGAATATTTCATTTATCTTTTCGAATGAATGAAACACATTTCCATTAATCGGTTTAGTGTTTGGCACCAAATAGTTAGTCGTCATTTATTAATAAATAAAAAATCAAAATTAAAAGATGAAAATGAATTTTTAATTTTAATGAAATAATCAACTATGGCTGCAGGTATATTTAAGAAACTGTGGGATAAAGTAAAAAGAGGAGCGCATAAAGTTTGGGAAACAATGAAGAAAGGAGCAAATTGGATATTTAAGAATAAAGAAGCAATTAGTGACATTGCTGAATCAATAACACCAAAAGCTGCCCCAATAAGAGAAGTTTTAAATAAAGGAGAAAAAGTTTATCAAAGACTACAACCGATACTAAGATAAAAATAATATTTATTTATTTTTCCACTATCTACCTCCTATTTTATTAAGTATTCCTTCAGCAATTCCACCAACTGCGTTACCTGCTTGTGCTCCCATCGCTGGATTACCTGCTTTAGTACCTAATACTCCACCTATGATAGTTCCTGCCGTTTTCGCTACTGGTGCCAAAAAGTTTGCAATGGGTTTAATAATCTTTTTATGAACCCAACCCGCAGCTTTCTTAATTCCATCCCATAATTTTTTAAAGAATCCTGCCGCCATTTCTGATTTAATATTAATTAAAAAATATATTTCATCACTTATATTCTAATTTTTATTTAATGATAAATGAAACCGATTTTAAGAATAAATGAAACAGAGGAGGAAGAAATAAATGAAAGTGAAAATGTTCAACAAAAAATAAACGTTGTTAAACCAATTACTGAAATAAAATTTTTTTCATCTGTTGAAGAATTTAATGACTATTATGCTAATAATAAAAAATTATTTGAAGAATTGACAACGTGTAAATTGAATAAAATGTTTAAAGTTGATGGATTCAAAATTTCAAAAATAAAAGGAGTGGTTAGTTTGAAATCTATTCCTCAATCAAGAATCACCTCATTAATGAAAATAGATGAAGGTAATGATGAGGAAGAATTTGATGAGTTCAACATTGAACTTTAAGAAACTAATGATTATTTGAATTTATGAAATCAATTATTTGATTCATTCTTTCTTCAATCTCTTCTATTCTTTTTGTTAAATCATCTTTTGATAGTCTTTCGTTTAATTTTTTCTGAAGTTTTTCGTTAACAAGTTCTAAAATTTTACATGGATGATATTTAAACCCGTTAAATTCTTTTTCCTCAGTTTTAATCATTAATCTACAAAGAACTTTAGTGAGGTGGTTTTGTTGTTTAAACCATTTATCCTTAATATTTGTTATAAATTCAATATCCGGAATTAATTCCCAAATTTTTGAATTTTCGATTAATTTACCATCAAATGCAAAAGCAATAGGTTTAATATTAAACTTACCTTTATAAAATAAACTTTGTATGTAATCATCAAAATAAACGTCTACTTGTTTAACCTGGGTGAGAATTGGTGAAAGTTTATCCATTAATTGATTCACAGTCACGAATTTTGATTCACTCATTTCATACAAAATAAAAAAATAAATTATTCAAAAATGTAAGACATGAATTTTTAAAGTTTATTTTTAAAAAATTTTTTTATCTTTTATTCATGAAAATAATTATTTCTAATTTCTTTTACTCTCTCGTACATACTAGATTTAAAGAATTCAGAACATTTCCCATAATCTCCTAAATGTTTTCTTATCCCTAACGTGTGCCAGTTATTATATGAAACTGAATAAACTTTATCTTTATCTTTACACCTTTCATCACTTCCAATATATTTATATCTCAGTTTTGATTTAGCATTTTCATATTCATTAGCGTTTAATAATTCACAGTCTTCCTTTTTAAATTGATGTTTAAGATATTCAGGATTTAATACTCTACGTTTATATGCTCCTAACTTAGTTCTAAAGGTTTTTCTACAAAATTTAGGAATTCCATCCTCTTTAATGTCATCAATGATTTCCATTTCAGAATCCGAGACTTTTGAAAATAAAAAAATTTCAAATGCTCCAAACGAGAAAAGTACTACAGACAAATCTGAATCAGACAATGACGAGGAACCTATATCGTCTGAAAGCGACGTTTACAAAGAAGTTGAAGAAGTTCAAAATTTCAAAGAAATTTCCAACCCTGCTATGCCCAAAAAGAATAATGTTGATAGCGATGATGACGATAGTTGGATCATACGTCCAAAAAAGTAAATACAGAAGAACAAACTTGAAATTATTGCTGAAAAATGCGAAAAGAGATTAAACAGAGTGAGAAATTTAAGTCAGGCTTTACCAAAATTTGACTTATCTTTTGGCATCGGGATTGATCGGGAAATTGGGATCAACTCATTCAATTTTATCCCGATTAATCGGGATAGATTTCAATACTTTACGGATCGGAATGATTTTAGGTGAAGTGAAAATTTAAAAAATTCATATCTTTCTTTATATTTGTTTCTAAGGGTATTCATTTATATAGCATTGAAGTATATATTATTAGCTATCATTACATATCGGTCAAGTTTGATTTGGACTTAGGATGTGTAATGCGAATGCAAATTATTATTTTAATTTATAATTAAAATTGTCCAACTTGTAGTATAGTCTCTAGCAATGGACTTATCTTTTGGCATCGGGATTGAAAGTCCAATGAAATTAAATCCGATGAAACATACACCACATTCTCCTATATCTTCTGTAGTTGCATATTATATATTCAAACGATTTTTAAATAATGTTTCTATCAAATGTGTAGTGTCTTTGCAACAAATATCGCAAGGACAATCTCAATAATTCTCAATAGGATTCACTTAGTTTGGATGGATTTTCCAAAATTATATCTTCAATATTTGTATTATAATTTTCCAATATTGGGAAGCCTATTATTGTGTGCGATTTTCCCAATTTTTGGGTGTGATTGATCGTGAAATCGGGATAAAATTATTTGATTTTATTCTGATTAATCTGGATAAATTTCAAAATATTTCGTATTTTTTTTTAAATTATTTTCTCATAGTTGGGCAATTTAAATTCTTTCTGATATGCCCTCAGAAAATCAATATCTAATATTTTGGCTATCCAGAAAAGTTATGCTATGAAACATTTTGTAACGCTTTCAAAAATGAAAACCTTTTGTTTAATTAATCAGCTTAGTAAAACTAACAAGCACCTAGAAAACTGTAGTTTTTTTTCAATACAAAATCAAAAAGAAAATTTTAATATAAATATAAGGAGATTAAAATGTAATTGGAACAGTTTCGAGTGGCTTTGAAGGTTCGTTGCCGATTCTAGAGAGCATTTCTTTATATAATTTATTTCTGTAATCTTTGACGGTGTATCTCTTATTATCAGATAAAGCCAATTTGATTGGTTCTGTCGAAGCAGCTTCTTCTTCAGTATTGTGGAATTGAGCTACATAAGGGTGATTTAAGCACTGTTCTACATTCATTCTTTGAGTAGGATTGAAAACAAGAAGTTTGGATATGAAATCAATTGTGTCTGCATCTGCCATTGGAAGCTTTTGTGGAAGGGTCATTCGTGGTTGACTGTAACTCAGATTGGCAATCATTGTTTCAGCAAATTCGGAATGCATTGATGCAATATCAGCAGCAGATGGTGGACCTGTTAATGAAACGACACGTTCCATTTGATCCAATGTGGATGTGCCTGGGAAAAGTGGACGGCCGGCATAAAGTTCGGCAACAATGCAACCAACTGCCCACATATCAACACCTTCATTATAGTGATTTGAGCCAATAATGAGCTCTGGTGATCTGTACCATCTTGTAGAGACATAATAAGTCATAACTGACTGACAAATATCACCTTCTGAAAATGTTCGAGCAAGTCCGAAGTCGCAAAGCTTGACTTTTGAATCAGAATTTATGAGTAAATTTGAAGGCTTGAGATCTCGATGAATTAAGCGTCTGGAGTGAAGATATTTTAATGCAACAAGTACTTGCCAAACAATAAAGCGTTTATGCACATCCATAAGGATATTTGCACGAATAACAGAATGAACATCTGATTCAAGAAGTTCAAATACAACGTATAAATCAAGATTATTTACAGCTTTATAAACAGCTAGTAAATCAACTATATGAGGATGACCTCTTAATTGACGAAGAAAAGTGATCTCTCGAAAAGTACGTTGTGCATCTGTTGAATTTCGGAAAGCCCCAAAAATCTTTTTGAGTGCAACCATTTGATGTGTAACTTTATCCATCGCTTTCCAAACAACGCCATAAGCCCCCTTACCGATTTTATTAACTATCTCGTAACGTGAGAGAATGTGTTTGTCAATCTTCTCAACGTTGTCTGTTCGGGCTGCCATGAAAATAACGATTAATTGATTTTACATCTATTGAATTTTTTATAGAGATTAGCCAAAAAAATCATTCCTATCTGCTTATATTGTTGCTGTTAAAAAAATGGTCCACCCTCCGCGCTGCGCGCTCTGGCTGCCCTCTGGTGGCTCAGAATTTTTTCCTCGTGACCTGGGGGTGACTGACCCTGTCAAATTTTTCTGGTTGTCACTTTTTAGTTTACAATATATAATAATAAAATGAAATTTTTTATTGGAACGGTTTTAGTTATCTTCTTCTGAAGTTTCTTCTTCATCATCATTTGTTATAGGGTCTCCAACATATCCAGCAATGAAGATATGGATGCGTTGGTTGAATAGTGTATGGAGAGAGAACTTGGAGTTTCCAACAAATTGGAATTCGCAGTCCAATTTGAGCTGTGCTGAGGAGGAGGTAAACTCGGCTATTTTAAGCGGCTCACGTCCTTGACGAACATTATATAGAGAAACACTTTGACCGAATGTAACCCTTTCAGGCTCAACCATAGCAATAGTTGAAATTACGTGAAGAAAGTCTTCATAGAATTGTTTTGGTTGTATTGTGAATGTCTTAGCAAGCTTTCCTTGAGGAACATCTACATAGAACTTGAAATGTTGTTCCTTTCCGTGTTCTTGAAGTTCTTCAATCCAATTATATGTAAGTGGATAAGGATGAAACAGTTTCAGACGTGCGTATAGACTTTTTTGCTGTCTGGGACTGAATGTTTGAATAAACTCGTCACAGAACTGTAAACCAATGATATTTGCTGTATAAGGAAGCAATTTGAAGAAGAATTCTGAAAGGTTTGTTGGATTTTGAACATTATCTTCAAATTTTTTGACTGCTTCAATAATATCATTGTAGAAATCTGAATAGTCATTTGTGTCTTTAATGCTTAAGTTTTGTGGGTAATTCTTCATGAATTGTTCGAGTCTCTTGACTGCGTCCTTACGAATATCGCTTTCTTTTATTTCTGGTTCTACCAAATATTCTTCTTCTTCATGAGTAAGTACAATTGGAATTGTACCAGAATTGGAAGTTTGTCTTTGTGTTTGCTGTGTAGTTTGAGAGGTTGAGACATGTGTGTGTTGTTCTGGTGCGTTTGAAGGTTGGTTTGAAGTAGAATTGGGTGGAATTTGGTTTGAATTCGAATTTGAGTCTGATTGACCCTGAATTGTTGCTTCAACCGAAGGAGTAGGTTGAGAAACCTTTGGGGTTTGCTTGAAGAATGTTGTTAACAACATTTTTTGTCCCCTACGAAGGGTAGAATTGGTAACAGCAGTGTCAGTGGTGTTGGGCTCCATTGAGAAAAAATGAACTGACCAGAAGTTTGTGGAAAATGAATATTGAATAAAAACGGTTTTACCAACGGAAACCCCCTCTATTTTTTCATTTTATTGAAAAGTCTCCGTTGGCGAAACCGTCAAACCGCTTATTCGTAGAGTTATAAGCACTTTTTGATTTCAATGTTTAGAGCCTTTTAAAACAAGATAGGACGGTTATTTTAAAAAAGTGACAGCACATTGACCGAGTAGTTTTTTGTGCTGAACAAAAAGTGTTATACAAACAACCGTCAAAAACCGTTTTTTACTATAGTTAAAATGCCGCGTAAACTACGTAAGAATATACGTAAGAAACGTGCCACGACTTTGAAACATCCAGTGGTAAAACTCCCCTCAGCAATGCAGCAAGCTGCAACTGACCCATCTTTATTGGCGCAAATGTACCAGAACCCTTTACTGGCGCAGAGAGTGTTAGGAAGTCAAGGTGGAGGAGGTTTAAGAGCAGCCCTTATGAATAAAATGGCAATGGGAGCAGGTTCAGTAGGATTGGATGGTGCAGCTTCTTCATTTCTAAAAAACAACCCTTACTATCTCAAACAAGTGAAAGCTGACACAGCAGCTTTAAAGTCAGCAAACGACGAAGCTTTGAAACAACTTCAAAAGCAAGACAATTGGAAACGAAAACATGAAGCAGAAGAAGAACTGAAGAAACAAGAAAGAAGAAAGATAGATATCGAAAATGAGAAAAAGGCTTTAGAAACAAAAGATGGACAGGATGAGATTTCAAAATTGGAGCTAAAAAATAAGAAGAAACAATATAAAAATGACCTAAGAGAAAGACGTAACGAATTGTTAAAGGAGCAAAAGGAGTTGAGGTTGCAAGAACGATTCGAAAGAGAAATAAATAAAGACGATGAAATTAAAAAGAAAATATACCAAAATGCTTTGATAGCAGCAAAGAACAATACACTAATGAAACTTCATTTAGAAAAACAAAAAGCTATAGAAGAGAGAAATGAACTTAACGCACAACTTACAGCAAACCAGGATGTTAGGAAGCAGGAGGACTATAAAAAATTAGTTGCCAGCGTAGAAGAAAATAAAATGCTAACAGAATTGGTAAAACAAGAAAACGAATCTGCAATAAAATATCTGAATGAAGTAGAACGTACAGAACAGCAAAGAGATGTTCGTAATTCAGATAACTATAAAATGTTAACACTTCAACATAAATATAATGAAATAATGGCTGAAGAAATAAAGAAACGTACAGATGCAGAAGCATCTGCAGCAACAGCAGCACAGGAGTTAATAGCGACAAGACAAGCAAGAGCAAAACCATATATAAACAATCTAACAGCTAAGAACATAGATTTAATGACTAAAACAAAGGCACTCAAGATAATGACGGACCTTGCTGAAGAAAATAACAAACTTGCAGTTGAAGCAAACAGAAGCAAAGCAAGTTTGGTAGCAGAAAATAATGCGAATGAGTTAAAGACTACTTTAGAAAATTACAAGACAATACTAAATGCAGCAAAGACAAATAATGAAAATGCAAAGGCTTTGTCAGATTTGACAAGAGCACTTGGTCTTAGATTTAGGAATGTTCCTGGATTGCAAGATGAGATGAATGACGACCTTCAAATATTAAATCAAGCAGTGACAACACTTACAACGGCTGCTAATACAACTTCACAGTCTTTGTCAAGTGAGATACAAAAGGGCTTTAGCGATATAGTAAATGCAATGAACAACATTGGAAATACAACAAGAGATGGACAAGGACTTGCAATAGGTATATATGATATTTATAATGCCCTCGCAGACAACAGTTTTGTAGATTTAAAGTCAATGCAAGATTTAGCAGCAGAATGTGGAAGAATAGGAACAACTTCTCAAGGGCATAGACTATCTCCAAAACAACAGGCTCCGCTAGGAGGAGTATTTATACCGCCTTATTCAAGCCCTACACTATCAGAACAACCTCCACGTCAGCAACAACCTCCAAAGCAAGAGAACGCTCTAGCAGAACTATTTAAAGAGCCTGAACAACAACAAGCTCCACCTCAGCAACAACAACCACAACAACCTCAACAACAACAAGTTCAACAACAAGCTCCAAAGAAAGAGTTCAGTCCACAAGAACTAATGCGAATGCCTTATAATGTACCACAACCTCAACAACCACAACAACCTCAGCAACCTCAGCAACAGCAAGTTAAAAAAAAGAAGAAGTAAACGAGAATGAAGAAGACCAAGAACTTGAAATCAAACCTCTAGATGACTCAGAAACATTAAGTCATATGAAAGAACCTTTCATTCGTACAGTTTTTGAACATCCAACTGAGGAGAGGCTCCCATTTTCTACTGAATTCGAGGACTATATGAATATATACAGTCCTAACAGTGAGACCGATGAAACATTTGTAGCAAATATGGTATTCAGGAATGACTTGTTGCCAATTGACACAGGTTTTGTTCAAAAACAAGATTTGGATGGTAACATAAAGAAATGGCGAAACGTAAAATCAGTTGAAAAAAATGTTGCAGCTAAAAACTTTATATATTACGATGAGAAAGGCAACCCTCGTTCCGATTTAAAACTTGGGTCAAATGGAAAACGTTTCTTTGGTTTTATAAGACACAATAATGAAGGTTCAATGGATTTTACAAACACTGCCATGGTGAAAATTGGTACCACAAACGAAAAAGCACTAGATAAGTTGACAAACGAACTAACAAAGGAAACAATGTATAGCGAAGGATGGATGAATAAAAGAAACCGTTTGGCAGATTATGTAACAAACTTCCTCAATTTTTATTCAGGCAATAATCCGACGGTACTCACAAGGCAGGAAGAAAATATTGTGGATGAAACAGGGGATTTGAACTATGTCCTAGAAAGTATAGATAAAAGAACAAACTTGTCAGGAATGGCAAGTCGTCATATCACGGACGAAGAGAGAGAAGACTATTTAGCTCATGTAAATATAAAGAATATGTCTCTCATGGACTATGTTAACATAAGAATAAGACAAGCAGCAAAGAAGCTAAATTTACGCCATGTTCTCATAGACTATGTACCTGACGATGATTTCTATGCTTATGACCAGCATGGAAATAAGAGAAGAAACCTAAAGCAAGCAGACATAGTTGAAGACCCAGCTGTGGACCGGTTTTTAGATATTATTCCAGAGGCAACAACAATTATTGGTGGAATTATGAGAAAAAGAAAGAGATATGGATATTCAGAAAATGAAATCATGACGGATTTCCTTGGCAATAATTATGAGATTTCTTACGTTAAACAAATGATAGCAAAAATGAGGAAAGAGCTTTCACCGAAAGAATTTAACGATTTCTTTAGAGATATAAACTTGGACATAACATATTCTGGGAAAAGTTACACCGATGAGGAACTTAAACTGATGTTGCAACCGATGGGAAACCCAGATTTTGTAACTTTTTATGCTCCACGGATTGTGAACCAATTGAGAGACGCCTTAGAAGAATTGAGACCAAACCAAAGCATAGATAGAACTCTAGAGGAATATCGCGACAAATATAATAGGATAGTGGCTCAGCAAGGCAAATACACATATCAACAACAAGAAGAATTTGAAAGAAGACAAGAGCGGGAGAACAAACAATGGGAGAGAGAGTCAGAACGAGCATGGAAGCATGAAGGAAGAAAACAAATGCAAGAAGCCAGAGAAAGAAGAGACCGATTGAAGTCTCAAATGGCAGATGAAAAGCTTTTAGAAAAATATCGTATGCAAGAGTTTAGAAGCGAACAACAAGCAGCAAAAATGTATAAGAAAGGATATGTAGTTGGTCCAGATGGAAGATGGGTGAAAAGATAAAGTGTTTCGATATTTTTATCCCACTTAAATGTACGCCGCTCAGAATATTACGCCAACAGTTTTGGATGCCATGAACGGAAATGTCTCCGAATGGTATAACGAATGCGACAATGCCATAAGAAGGTCAGAAATTGTTCCTGGTACTTATGAATATACAACAGCAGTTTCATACGGAAATGTAGGAGAGTTTGCTGAAGGTTCTTCTACAACCGTTGACATTGCATGTGACAGATTTCATATTATATCTTTAGATAACTCATTCTTGTATGTCGAACAAGGGGATTGTGCCATGTGAGGTGAAAATCACCATACACCGATTGGACCTTTTTTAAAAAAGATATGGTGAGTATTTGATTTGTTCCTTGGTATTTTGCACGCAGATAGACTAGGGTAATGCCGATCATTTCGTGCAGGAATTACGTAAAAAAATTATGACCCAAGTTATTCACATTATAAAATTATATAAAGTGTGTCTAATTTCAATAATATTCATATGACCTTATAGTATGGTACCTATATAATAATAATACATATAGTTTATAGTAATATCTCAGTTTTTATAGTTTGATATCTTATTAATTATGATCAATATGTGTGTATTAGTGTATATTTTACATGGCCCATATAGACTTGTGTTAGACACACACATTTATATATATTAAAATGAAAAATACGCAGATAATAAGGATCTCAAGATGTGATGCCGAGCATCTGCTACTTATTTGGGTGTAAGCAGCAGATGCTGGCATATATGTGTCATAGCAAGTGTATCTATGCTAATAGATTACACTTGCTATGACTTTCCCGGAATCTCAAGATGATTCCGGGAAAAACAGTAATAACCTCTCAAAATGTTCGTTTCAATATCATAAAGCTGAGAAATGGGCTTTGACCTTGAGAAAAGGCCCATTTCCCAGCTTTATGATGAATTTTAGTTATCATTGCGAGTGTCTGCTGCAAATCTCGGTTGAAGCAGCAGGCACTCGCAACCGTATTCCACGGCAAGTGTACTTATGGTGTTGGAATGCACTTGCCGTGGCTTTTGTACAATCTCGTGATCTTACTGGAGTGAGCGGCAATGGAAGCCAAAACCACTCCACTCAGTACCAGAAAGCTATGAAGGAAGTCCTAACCTAGAGAAAGGGCTTCCTTCATAGCTTTCTGGGTGACATGAGATTTGTAATTGTTGAACATTGAGTATTTTGCAGGCTCTGGCCTTTGCTTGGGCCAGAGCTTCGTATTTGGATGTTCCCAGGGCCGGATTCCTCTCCTGCCGCCCTAGATCAGGACGGCATTTGAGAAAGCCGGCCCTGAGGACAGTAAGCGAAGCCCTGGCCTTTGCTAGGGCCAGAGCCTGTATTTGTATGTCTTTCAGGGCCGAGTTTCTTGCGAGACCGTCGACATGATCGACGATCATCGCAAAACTCGGCCTGAGGATTGTATTTGCAGGCTCTGGCCTTTGCTTGGGCCAGAGCTTCGTATGGGAACTCTCTCGGGCTGGTTTCCTCTCCGGCCGCCCGAATCAGGGCGGTCTTTGAGGAAACCGGCCCCGAGGATGGTTTGCGAAGCTCTGGCCTTAGCAATGGCCAGAGCTTGTGATTTTAATGAAGAGCCAAGTTCCTCTCGGATCGGGCCTAATGAGGACGACCGTCGAGGAACTTGGCTCTGAGCTGATGAATTGTAAACTCTGGCCTCGATGAAGGCCAGAGTTTTTAAGGGAATGTTTTGATGGGATGAGCCTATGCTCAGTAAGCTCATCCCATCAAAACATTCGTTTAAAAATTGAATTAAAAATTATCGTATGCATTGAAAAATTAAAAAAATAAAAATGAACAATATTATTATATAATGAGAATAGAATAAATTATCATAAAATTGAATAAAATTATCCAAAGAAAATTGAAAATTTTAAAAATTAAATAAAAAATAACAAATTTCATAAGAAAATTAAGGAATAGAGAAATATTAGATAGAAAGAGTATGTTTATTTATGATTATAAGATTGAAATAATGAGATTTTGAGAGTTTTAAGAAGAATGTGATCTTTATATTTTTTTGGAGGAAGGTTTTACAAGAAAGGAGTTAACAAATGCAGGGTATTGTCCCTTTACCCTGCATTTGTAAACTCCTTTCTCGAATTGAAATTCAATGAATCACATTCAAGTGAAAAAGTGCAAGCTATTCGAGAAAGGAGTTTACAAATGCAGGGTAAAGGAACAATACCCTGCATTTGTAAACTCCTTTCTCGAATTGAAATTCAATGAATCACATTCAAGTGAAAAAGTGCAAGCAATTCCTGATTTGCTCATATAGGTGCAGGGTCTAGTGATAGACCCTGCAAATATATGAGCAAATCAGGAATTATGTCGACACATTCGCATCGAAGAAAGTGCAAGCTTTTCCCATTCTGCACATATGGTGCAGGGTGCCAGTGATAGACCCTGCATATATATGTGCAGAATGGGAAAAGTGTTTGCAACATTCGCATCGAAAGGTAAAAGTGCAAGCTTTTCCCATTCTGCACATATGGTGCAGGGTGCCAGTGATAGACCCTGCATATATATGTGCAGAATGGGAAAAGTGTTTGCAACATTCGCATCGAAAGGTAAAAGTGCGCTTTTCCCATTCTGCACATATTGGTGCAGGGTGCCAGTGATAGACCCTGCATATATATGTGCAGAATGGGAAAAGTGTTTGCAACATTCGCATCGAAAGGTAAAAGTGCGCTTTTCCCATTCTGCACATATTGGTGCAGGGTGCCAGTGATAGACCCTGCACCTATGTGTACAGAATGGAAAAACTATCTACTTTGAATATTCTGCATCGGAATCTCTTGGTCAATATACAATTAAATACAATGATCACATCGATATTTGGAGATACAAGATAAGTATCTCCAAATGCCGATTGTGATCATATATGATTGTCGATAAAAATTTGAAATCTCAAATAAGATGCAGATTAAAAAATGGATATGTGACCAAAATGAGTTTACAAACACAATATAGAGTATATATATAGATACCTCATTGTATTCAAAATGAAATAAAACAAAATTTTTGAAATTCATATCTTATATAAAACATATTATTCCTCAATACTATATGAGTAAATATGGCTTGATTAGTATAGATATATGCACATATATTTGGCCCCCAATATAAATTCTATGTTTTCGGGAAAGCAAAAGGTCCAATCGGTGTATGATAAATTTCACCTCACATGGCACCGCCCCGTCGAACAAGACTTAAAAATAAAAGCTTCAGCTGATTTGACTACCAAGGAAGGTTGCAATGGTATATTCTATATAGGATACCAATATGCTCCAGAAGTTTTCATGGGATATAAGATTTATTCTAACTCTGACTTAGTTCAAACAGTTACATGGGCAAACTATGAATGGTTCGCTTTGAGAAACTCAGTTCAACCACAAGCTAGAGAACAAACAGACCAGTATGCGACTATTGAAAAGATAAGAAGGCTTGACCCTAATGTTCCAGGAGTTTATATTGACCTTTCAAAAAGTACTGGCGCTGAAGTGCAGATAAAACTGAAACTTAGAGTCCCATTGTCATCTTTCCTTATCTTCAGGTTCTTAAGATACTTACCAAACTGGGCAGGTGAGGTTTCAATTGAACTTACTCCAAGCAAAAATAACTTAGTCATTGCACCAACAGAAGACCCATTTCTTAATACTACAGAATGTGGTGTTGGTTCTGACAAACCTAAATTTAAAGATTGGTGTAAGGACAAAGAAGGTTTAGACTGGGGTTTCTCAAATCTTAATGTTCCATTAAACTACTATGTTTCAGTTACAGGTACTTCTGGAAGTTTAAAGACTGCATTTGACCCAGTAAAGTTTACATGCACTGAAATGAATGTTGTTAGAATTGAAAGTAGATGTGCTGTATATATGTTAGACCCAGATGTTTCAAATGCTTTGGCTTCGAAATATATTGCAGTTCCACTTATGTTCCCTATCCACCAAATTTCTGTCAAAGATTTTGCAGAAAGAGTTGGTGGTCAAAATGGAACAAATCCAAGAACAGATACAGCTTTGACAACTGCAATGAAACATGCAGACACAATGTTCATATTATTCAGAAGAGACTTAAATGACTATTCTTATTTCTATAACCCTGGTATACAATACCATGTCAATATTGTCGGTCAAAGTTCCGCATTCAAGTTATGAATGGGGAGCTTGATATCATTCTGGGAGACATGCAGTGACAATGTCTCCCGGAATGAGACACTGTGACCGACAAGAGTGTATTGTGCACTCTTGTCGGTCAAAGTTTTGCAATCACATTCTGATTGCAGAAGATTGTCTCATTCTGGGAGACATTCAGAGGCAATGTCTCCCGGAATGAGACACTGTGACCGACAAGAGTGCACAATACACTTAATGTTTTCAAATTTTCAGAGTTAAATTTAATCTTTATTTTCATCATCATTTATAGTCCTGTTCCTATATAAAGTTATAATAAATTATCGTCAGATTCTAATATTTATGATTCTTACTACTCAATTCAATATAATTATGTTAGTCACTCATATTCAGGAGAATAATTTAAAAATCTATAGCTCATATTTTGATAGTTATATATTTAGATGATATATATTGCAATTCCGGTTTCAACACGATCAAATGCCAAACCAAGACAAAATATATATGAATTTTCAAAATATCGATTTACATTAGAATCTATATCTAATTTTATCAATACACAAGTAGTGAATGTTCAATACATTTTTGAGCAACGTGAATAGCACAATTTTATAGGATTATTAGTTGATTATATAAAATATAAGCCAAATCGAATCTGCTGTATAGTACTTTAGTTTATCATTGAATGTTAAATGTGTTCATATAAATATTTGAGTCAGATATCGCATTTTCTAATTTCAAAATTTTATCTCATGAAGTTAGAATTTATTTGATCATACAACATCATGTTAGTCAAACCAGAGTTCAATGGCGATTCTAAAATGGAACAAATGCTTGTTTTATCAAAATGTTAAAATATTAATCTAAAAACTTAATATCTAACCAAACCATTCTAGAATTATTATATACAGGTATGGGCAATCTAAATGCACACGGAATTCGAAAATTAAAAAGAATATTTATGAGATTATTAAATCTTATGTAATTCAATGAAAAGTAGATAATATGAATATCCATAGGCTATATATCAACATATGAGTTTTTGGTTTGACCAATACTATACTAATGTGATCAAATTAATCTGATTTCTTAGATTTCATTTGAAGCATTTGCAGTAGTAGGGGTACCTTTATATATTAACATATTAAAAATTGCGCTCCGATTCGCAGTTTCTTCATGATTTGAGATTGCATTAGATTTCGCGATGCAGAAAAAAATCACTTTAGATTCCCGTCAAACTCTAAGTATAAGCATGTCTCTATATGTAGAAACTGTCTGCGCTATTTATTTCCCGGCTCAAAAAACCACGGTGTCTGTGTGAGGAAAATACCCATTTTAGGACCCTGGGTAGGGTCATGAAAATTTTCCAAGAGTTGGAAATATAGGGTAATGAATATTGATATTTACTTAGATTTGAAATTAAATTTGATATGTAAATCATAACGTGATAATTAATTGATAAAAATTATGGAAATTAAAACGTAATTCACAAATCTTTTTATTCTTTTAGTAACTTTTCAAACTAAGATCATATCATTCATATTTGGAACCTACTGATTCTATTTATCTTATTTATTTGGAAATCTGTCGTTTAGATTCTTCGTGGGACTACCTTGATTCGAGCGAAATAAAAATTACTAGGATATCGTGTTAGTAAATAATCTTTTAAAATATAGAGATTCTGTAAGTCCAAACTAAAGATTATATAATCTCTAATTAGATTGTATATGTGGAATTTTTCTCTTATTTAATTTTTGAATTGGACTTAGAATTCTAATTCTAATTAGTATTCAAAAATTAGGATAGCTGGTTTTCAAAATAAATGTGAACTAAATTGGGTGACTTGGCGATCCTGTCCATTTGATATTGTCACCTTTTTGACAAATAATTGCAGTTTTTGAGATTTGACAATTACTCGTATTGGCCATTACAAGTAAGGTTAACTAATGAATTTACCCAGATAAAAGTCATTCTTGATCTTGTTTTCATAGCGTATTTGTGGAATTCCACAAGATACAAGAATGAAAGTATCGACATTATAAACCCACTCCGAGTTTACTTCGTAAAACTCAAATTTTTATTTCGAATGTTAAATTTGAAAAATTAATTTTTAGCGAAGCTCCAAAAACTAGATTTTATTAATAAACAAAAATGATTCTGTGACATAATTTCGTACATTACAACCTTGACAGTGAATTCAGAATTCGTAGATTACAGCCTTGACATAATTACGTTCATTTAAAAGATAATGCAAATTGCTTTATTGACTTTCATAATTGCCACTAAATTAAACACCTTGCTTTAAGAGAATTTATTTTTACATATTTTTTATCATACTGATCTAAATATTTCCTTATAGTATAGAAAATGGAACAGAGTCAGCAAATAGCATGTAAAATATGTTACAATTAACTTTTTATTATATCCAATAGTAAATATCGAATGGTATCCAGCTTTATGGTTTGCTGACCAGTCGCAAAACCTTTTAGGTGAAGATAATGAAATATCTAAGCAGCTAAAAGATTTTAAAGGTCAGTTGAATGGTGAAGAGTTTAAATTAAATTCACTTAAAGAAAAGGAGAAACAGCCAGAATATCCACCAGTTGAGGCACCGCCGATTAATTCAGCACCAGCGCCAGTAACTGCAGTCGCACCATATGACCCCGGCGGTTATGGAAGACCTTTTGACCCTAAAACAGGAGGTTCGAATTGGTTCCATTACGGTCGAAGATATATTTTAGCTAAAATCGCAAAAGCAAAGAAACTGTTAAAAACTAAAAAGAAACTGTTAAAAACTAAAAAGAAACCAAGAGTTTTAAAGTAATTAAATGGTTAGAGATGTTCTCGAATACCCTGCACCACCTGAAACGCCTAACAATAATGATTTATATAATCGATTGAAACTTTAGGTAAAGCGTATTTATGGTTTAATTATCCTTATCATATGGTAGAGTTCAATTTAGAAAAATTAAGCAGCCATTAAATAAAGATGGTATTTTGAGAAAGATTAAATTATATGAAGATAATATAGCAGAACTGAAGAAGAAATTAGAAGAAATGGATAAATCAGATTAAGCCGCTTAGCGGCGAGATGGACTCAAAGAGTCCTCATGAAATAATAAATTTTATTTTTATATAAAATGAATTTTACTAATAAATTATTAATTATCGTTTCATTACTTCTCATCTCCCGTGAAGCTCGTTTATGGTATGAATCTATAAAAGAGTTTGAAGACAGCAGCGATGACACCCCTGAATCATGCCAGCATATTTACTGTTGAAAATTCACAAGGTTAGAAATGAGGTTAGATATCGGGTTAGATCTACCCTAAGCCGCGTAGCGGCGAGATGGGCTCAAAGAGCCCTCTAAATTAATTTTATCATTTATGAAAAATTTAGTATATACAGAAATTAAAAAATTTTTGAGTTAATTTATTTTTAAGTTTATTTTTACTCTGGGTGTGAAAATCTATGATAAAAAAAAATAAATAAAAAATTTTAATGTTAATTTTTTAAAGTTTATTTTTTAAAAATTATTTTTTTAGTTTGTGAAGTGTCAACAATTTTAAAGTTTATTTTTAAGTTTATTTTTTAAAAATTATTTTTTTTTATTTTGTAAAGTGTCAAAAATTTTAACGTTAATTTTTAACTTTATTTAAAAAAAAATTTTATTTTTGTAAATGTCAAAATATTTTACGTGTCAAACGTTTTTTTGCAGATTCTAGTAATTTGAGTACTAAGGGGCGTAGACCCTGGGTACCCAATTACTAGATACTAACTAGTATATTGGAATATCAATCACTTCAAATTCTTTTGGGGATTAATATTTCATTAAAAAAAATGGGGCCCAAAAAAATTTGAATTGATGGGTATTAATATATGCTATGATAAAAGTAATTATTAAATAAGAATTTAAAAATATAGAACAGAAGCGTTCAAAAAGTGAATTTTTAAAAAAGACGATGATGATTAAATGTTGTAAACTATTTAAAAATTGAATGCTCATAGCAGAAGAAAATCATATATATTGGATAAAGTATCATTTGAGAGTCTAAATCAGAGAAAAAAAATTGAAAGTTTTAGTAATTCAAATAAAAATAGTTTACTAATATTTTGTGTATAATAACTATCTTAAAAAGCAAAAAATAAGAAAAATTTATTTGAAATAATTTCGATTTCGAAAAAAAGTTCTGTGTTTGAGAGGGAAAAAAATAAATTTTTAATTTAAATTATCGAATATTGAGACCTTTTATTAGTATCCTCTTTTCGAAATGAAATTTTGTAATTTGGAAAAAAATCCAAAATAAAATTTTGAATTTGATGGCGAATTAAGAAATTCTACTTGACCTTTTAACGCAAATGGAAAAGTATCCATTTTCTGCTAGTTTGGGATTGATTTTCGGCTTGTTAATTCATCATACAACGAAAATAATAAACGAGCATTTTTTGTTCAGAAAATTGAAATTGCATTGTTTCATCAGAATTGATGCAGAAACTAACTGTAATATATCAAAATTGCATTGTTTCATCAGAATTGATGCAGAAACTAACTGTAATATATCTTGATTTTGAGTTTCAAAATATTCATGATTAAAAATGTGAACCAAATTGCAAATTTTTAATAAAACCAAACAATCCATGATGCATACTGTTATAAATTTATGATAAAGACAGGACTAACAAAATTAGATATTTACATTTATTCAATATTCAAAATGTTTATTTTGAATTATCAATATAATTAAATCATATTGCATTTCATGCACGTTTTTTCTCTCAAAATTGCTTATAACAAATTGAATTCTAGACATAATGAAATAAAGAGATATATACCAAAAGAATGTGAAACTGTTCGAACTATTGACTTACTTCTTGTTGAAGACCATTACATGTTAAATGAAAGATTACCTATGACAACATATTTTATCATAAATTATAACGAAATTCTCAAATCATTAGGCGGCTGGAATATTGAGCGTCAAATGAAAATAAATAAGAAAAGGGAAAATAGATTTGTTATTGATTCTACGCGAACAACTCCTTTATGGGATATTTTGAAAACATTAAGAGAGTGCAATTACTTTGAACCGTTATCTTATGGTGAACTTTTCACTTATACAACAGATTTATATAAACAAAAACTTGCACCGTTTAAAGATTTAAATTATACCCCGAACTACTGTGTTCAGTTAAAGAAAAAGTCTGAAAGTAAAGATAGTGATAAATCAAAACAAAAATTCATTCCTGAACACATTTTCTTCGCTGACTTTGAATGTAGCACTGATGGAGTTCATAAAGCCTTTAACATTTGTTATGATAGTGAAGATGGAAAGATTAGCGAAAGCATTTGGGGTCAAAATTGTGCAACAAAATTTTTAGAAAGAATTCCTGATAAAAGTTTAATATATTTTCATAACCTCAGTTATGATATCAATTTCATTTTAAGACATTTAACAGAAATTAGCGGAACACCAATTATTAAGGGTTCTAGAACAATGCAGATAACGGGAATATATAAAGGTAAAGCAATCATTATTAAAGATTCATACACTGTTATAAATAAGAAGCTTAAACTATTTCCTGAAATGTTTCATTTGCAGTGTGGTGAAAAGGAAGTATTTCCGTATCAATATTATTCAAGCTCTTTATTAGTTAATGATAACAAAACTGGCGTAATTTCTGAAGCGTGTAAGTTTGTAAAAGATATTGAAACGTTCATGAAAAACATAGATTTAATCGAAAACTGCAGAATAGATGAAAACCATTTCGATTTAGAAAAATATAGCTCATTTTATTGCAAACAGGACGTAAGGATTTTAAGAGAAGGTTTTGTTAAGTTCAGAAATGATATATTGAAAGAGTTTGATTTAAACGTTTATGATTACGTTAGCATTTGTTCAATCGCTAACAAACTTTTCGAAAACAGAGTATATTTCCCGAATGGAAATTTATATGACCTTTCAAATAAACCAAGAGAATTTATTTCACGCTGTATTCAAGGTGGAAGATGTATGCTGTCAGATAACATGAAACAAAAGAGCGAAAAGAAACTCATTGCTGACTTCGATGCTGTTTCATTATATCCATCCGCTATCGCGAGACTTTATACTTTAGAAGGAATTCCAAAGGTTATGAAGAAAGAAATGTTAAACAGTGAATATTTGTTAAAACATTTATTCGATGATGACCAGGGCGAGCCTGAAGGTGAGAAATTCATTTCCGGATTCTTTGTTTTAATAAAAATAACCGAGATTAAGATTAAAAGGCACTTTCCATTAATAACAGTAGATCCAGAATTAAACCCGGAGCTAAAGGTTCCAAGAAGTTCTAACACATGCTGTTTAATGTATGTGGACCACATAGCTTTGCAGGATTTAATAAAATATCAGGGCATCAGCTGCGAAGTATTACAGGGTTACTACTACGATGAAAAAAGAGATTTTAGAATAAGAGATGAAGTAAAGAAATTGTTTGAATTGAGATTAAAGTATAAGAAGGAAGAAAATCCGCTACAAGAAAATATTAAATTAATTTTGAACAGTATTTATGGAAAAACTATTTTGTCCCCGATAGAGTCGAAAATTAAAATCATTGATGATAAAGATGCTGTTAGGTATGCCATCAGAAATTATAACCATATCATTAAATTTGAAGGTTTAGATGGTTCGGATAAAACTATTTTCAAACTAACTAAAAGCATTTGCAGACACTTTAACTTTTGCCCTTAGGTGTTAATATCTTATCTATGTCGAAACGTATCATGAATGAAGTATTTTGCACTGCTGAGGATATGGGACTTCAAATCTTCTACCAGGACTGTGATAGCATGCATATTTTCAATGAAGACATACCACGTTTAGCTCGGGAATTTCAGAAAAGATATGGTCGCGAATTAATAGGAAAGAATTTAGGTCAGTTTCATTCAGATTTTGCAGAAATCACAAAAGATAAACAAAGTTTAGCTTACAAGTCGATATTTTGTGGAAAGAAGACTTACATAGACCTTTTAATAAATGACATTGGTGAAGTTGCATTTCATGCACGTATGAAAGGCGTAAAACAAGATGTCATTGCTTTAACCGCTAACGAAATGTTTCCTGACGCAGTACAATGCTATTATAATGAAGATAAGAACATTCATATTCCTGTTGGAAAATATGATAAAGATTCTGAGTTCAGTATAATGAAATTATATCAAGCCCTTCACGATGGTCAGGAAATCGCATTTGATTTGCAAATCAACAGCACCCTGTTTTGGAAAGTTTAACTTTTCAATAACGACTAAAAATACTTTCATAAGGAAATTAAAGTTCTGAAGTCATATGATATAATATATTTTTATCGTTCAAGACAAAAATAAACTTTTCATATTAAATTATGTAAGCGTTTGAATTTACTATACGTAATGCACGTTCTTTTTCCATTAACATCATAAACGTTAACATATAATGAACCATTTATGTTTTCATTAATGTATAGTTCTTTATACTGACGACCGTTATAATAATAAAACAAATCTGCATTGATGTCGTAAAATAAATCCTCAAATTCATGATTTCCATAATGTGAAACAGTAATTGAATTTTCACTGATTTCATCAACGAAATTATATTCTACTCCATTTGCTTTACTTCTATTTCTATTATTTGTAGAACTTGAACACCAATGTAGATTATCAATCTTATTATTATTTCTAACTTTATCGTAATGGTCAACTTCCCCAAAACTACAGGATTATCAATCCACTGAATAGCTATTAATCTATGCTTAAGATATTTTTTACCGTTAAGGGTTAATCTTATATATCCATTCTTTTCTTCATACTCACTGACAGTCTTTCCGTTTTTCTTTCTTCTTATTTGATACGGATATTTGTGTTAATTTCGTAATCTTCATCAGCACTAATGTTTCCCAGTTATTATTTTCCATCGTTTTATAAAAATAAAAAAATCAGAAAATTAAAAATTAACTACATTTATTTTTTTACTCTTCACCTCCATCAGCAGCTAAATTATAATCATCAATTCTAACAGCAGGAATGCCAGCTGGTCTGACTTGAATAGCGAAACAAGCATTTCTAAGAAATCCTAATAAAGGTTTGACAGTGTATTTTTCGCTTATATTTGTATCATCAGCTTTAACACCTAATTTATATGTAATTGGTGCCGTTGATGTTTGACCCTGTTGAAATGTGAAATCAGTTTCCGTAGGGAATCCACAGAGGAAATGAGTGTTATCGTATGATTCATATAAATGTTTAACGCTTCCATCATCAATTAACGACCTCATCACATCTTCATTAAATCCTATCATATCGTTATTTGTATTGCATGCATTAGCAACCATTTCATAGAACACAGGACCATAAGAGCTTCGGTTCAGCTGGCATACTTCCATAAGCGCCCATTGATAATTGAAGGGTTTCAAATTGAGGATTTTCGAAATTCACGATATAATTATCATTCTTCCTAAATAAAGCCCAAATGCTTTTAACGTTAATTGGTGTATAAGCTGCTGTGAAAGTTGCTGATGGTGAACCTTTACTGAACGAACCGTCCATAGGAATCCAGTCCATTACTTTAATTGGAAAACATAAAGCTTGTGATGTATAATGGACTAATTCAGTGTAAATATTTGGATCGAGTGAAAATGCTTTAGGATGAATGAAGCAATCAATGAATTCAGCTGATTTCTTCGTTAATCTTTGTTCAACTGTTGAAACAGTAATTTCACCATTTGATTTAGAAACTGCTGTTATCATATTGAATGGTTCATTCCATGGAACAAATTTATTAGTTGGTGGGTCATAATTATCTTTTACCTGACTGATTAAAGAAGGATTATGAGCTAAAATATCTTCTACCGGCAGTGCTGTTACCTGGAATGCATCGCTACTAAATTTAACCTTTAACTGAATGTTGCCTGCAAAAGCAGGAATAAATCTAATAACTTCTAGAATAAGGAATTTACGACATGGAATCTTTATTTTAATGTCAAAATTAATTTCAGCTCCTGCAGCTAAAGGTCCTGAGATAATTTGACCTGTTCGAACTGTTCCAGAACGTTTCCATACATCTTTATGTCTCGTTTTTGAGAAAACATCAACTTTCTTTATTTGTTCTGTAGTCTGTGAATTAGAAATGATATATGCTTCTTCTCTTGCGTTATCCTGACTATAAATAACTCTTCCATTTGCTAATAACTGATATGCGCAATGGTGTAAATTGATTCATCAAAAACGCCAAAGAAACCTGGAGAATTAGTATTTGGAATTGATGAGCCAGTAATAGCTTATCCAGGATATATTTACTTTTATAGGTAGTTGTAAGGAATGTGTTATAAAGGTCTAGCATATTTTCACCTGGCGGAGATAAATTGAATGTGACCCAGTTATGATCCTTTGCGCTTCCTGGTTGTGATGGAATTTTTGCATCGATATATCTTCTATTAGTATCACCAATATTAATTGCATTATCGATTACATCAAAATATGAACGAATTTGATGGATATGTTCAGCTGGTGTAAATTCGTTAAGCTGTTCGTTTTGCATGTTTTATGTTAGATAAAAATATTTATTTAGTTTAATATTCTAACTCTTCTTCTTAGTTGAGGAATTTGTTTCTTTTGTTCAATAATTTCATGTTTTACGTTTTTACAAACTCTTCATTAATTTTGGTTTCCTGCTCTTTTACTGGTGGGTCTGGATTTTTTGATTCCGTTTGCTTTTCAATGAAATTTACAAATTTAGCTATTAATTCTTGATTCGTTATCGAAAGTACATCGGGTTTGATTTCAGCGCTCTGCGCCAAGATGGACTCTCTGAGTCCTCCTGGTTTAGGTTCTGGTTTAGATTCCGTTTCCTTTATCATGGGCTTTGTCCTGACAACCTCACTGTCTTCCGCTTTTGTTTCAAGTTTAGGTTTTATATCTATTTTATCAGTTTCCGAATTCGTTAATGGAACTCGTCTTTTTCTTACATAAATTTTTCCATCTTTACTTGTTGATACATAATATAATGGATGCTGAATTCCTCTTGCATCATTTAATATAATCGATTGTCTCTCAGATTTTGATAGGCTCATATTTAATTCAAATAAAATTTTTAAATTTTGAATTTTTTATCGGTAATCAAATGAGTCAGGGATTAGATATTGAAGCCATCAAAAAAGAAATTCGTGAGCAGATATTAACAGAACTAAAGACATAAAAAGAAAAACCAGTAAAAACCAAAAAGGAAATTAAGTGAAAAGCAGTTAGCCGCATTAGCTGCAGGAAGAGAGAAGAACCCGAGAATGAAAGCAAAAAGAGAACGTGAGGCTAAAGAAAAAGCTGAAAAGGAAAAGGCTGAAGAGGCTCATTGAGCCTCATGAGGGTCGAAGACCCTTTTCCATTGAGAAGAAAGAATAAATGATATATTTTTGTTTGTAATAAATGTATAGACAAGTACCTTTAACAGTTGCTTTCAGTTCTGAAAACGAAAATGTCAAAATAAATGGAAATAGAATTACATTTAAATACCTATTGACTAGCTGTGAATATAAATGAAAAATATATTGGTTTATCAAATATGTATATAACGCGAGGATTTAGAAAGGTTGAATTTGAGCTTGAAGTTGTTGTTATAAACGATACACAAGAATTTAAGCAAACTATTCACATATATAAATATTTCAAAGACGACACAACATTATATGAATGCATGAGTGATTTTAATGAAATTTTCGAAAAGAAATTTAACAAAAACGCTTTAGGATTAAATGTGTATCTTGATAAATTAGGTGAAGAAGGAATTCATCCGCAGATTATAGACTTTCATTATGAATTTATTGAACAAATAGATGATTCACATACATGCACATTTGTTATATACTCGCCGTTTAATGAAGTAGCAGCAAAGAGACAAAGTGATTTTAGGATAGGTTTTAAAATTTCTCAGTATAATGAAGACTTCATGAATGTATTTAATTATAAACCCGGAGAAGAACGAACAGTGTTATCACCAATAATAACATATAATGTATGGGACAGAAAACAAGTCATCTTATATTCAAATATCGCTAAAGGGGTTGAAAATGAATTTATCGGGCATACTAGAGCATCACCATTAACAAATATTAAATATTATAAGTTATCAGGAAATAATAGAGAGTTTTGGATTGATATGTATTCTACACACGATCATAAATGTCCCGTTGTATTACCCGAAGACAGAAAGGATGTTTTCTTCCTTGAGGCTCAGTTAATGAATTCAACTATTGCAACTTTATAAGAGAATTCACAAGGTTAGAAATGAGGTTAGATATCGGGTTAGATCTACCCTAAGCCGCGTAGCGGCGAGATGGGCTCAAAGAGCCCTCTAAATTAATTTTATCATTTATGAAAAATTTAGTATATACAGAAATTAAAAAATTTTTGAGTTAATTTATTTTTAAGTTTATTTTTACTCTGGGTGTTAAAATCTATGATAAAAAAATAAATAAAAAATTTTAACGTTAATTTTTTAAAGTTTATTTTTAAAAAATTATTTTTTTATTTTGTGAAGTGTCAAAAATTTTAAAGTTTATTTTTAAGTTTATTTTTTAAAAATTATTTTTTTTATTTTGTAAAGTGTCAAAAATTTTAACGTTAATTTTTAAGTTTATTTTTTAAAAAATTATTTTTTTTATTTTTGTAAATGTCAAAATATTTTACGTGTCAAACGGTTTTTTGCAGATTCTAGTAATTTGAGTACTAAGGGGCGTAGACCCTTGGTACCCAATTACTAGATACTAACTATACTTCAAACATTTTTCTGAGCAAAGCTCAGAAAAAGTTTGAAGTATATTTCTAATTTTCTTTAATGTTTATTTGAAGACTTCAATAAGCGTTCTTATTTATTGTGTGACATTATGCAGCTTCTTGCAAGAATATCAAACTTATGTATTTTATTGTCATCAATTTTGATCAATTAATTTACAATTTCTGTCCTCTGTTAAATCTTAATGTTCTCTAATTATGCTTTTCATTTAAATTCATTAATAAGATAAATTTTGCAAATTACCTCAGACTTTTCAGAGGATTGAGTGGCAACTCAATCCTCTGAAATAGTCTGTGGTAATTTTTAGTCTCTACACTATTTCAATATAAGCTCCATTTTTAAACAGTTTTTAAAAATCGAGCATTGAAAAGCCCAATAGATATTAGATAACCTCTTACATTATAATTTGCAACTGAGAGTGCTGTATTTCCATAATTGTTCTTTGCTTCTTTATTGGCTCCAACAGAGATAAGAGCTTATGGGTAAGTAAAACAAATAAGATCAACTTTCAAATTTTCGAAATTTATTAGATCTTGGAGGTAAATTACCAAGGTTTTCGACGAAAAACCCATTTTTATGCTGTTGAAGCTATAGTTTCACTTGGTCATATTTGTGGAGTTATGGACCATTAAAAAAAGGAGGATTACGACCCTTTCAATTTATGAACGTGGAGCCTTAAATGAAAGGATTGTTATCACAAATATATTCTTTATATATATATGTATATTCTCCCACTCTAACATATTATGAGATAATTAAGCATGTCAAGATAATTGAGAAAAGATTTCAATCAAAAATGAGTAGTTCATTACTCTTCTCAGACAGTCTTCATCGACTATCAATGCCAACAAATTATATTACTATTCAAAATTATGAAGAGGCTGTTTCAATTCTTAAATCTGTCAGAAAATACATGAAATTCCATGTATTTGGTGTACTTATTGATTTTTTAAATCAAAACGACAAGTGTTTGCGCGAATCTACAGAAGAAATCAAAAAACTTCAAACAGAAATCAAAACTTTACAAAACCAAATACAAAATGCAGCCAAAGCAACTGCAATTAATGAATCTCACAACTATCCTAAAGATTATTTAACCAAAATCTCATCACTTAAGGAAACTAAAGGTTTTGATAGTGTTTACCAACTCTTTGAAGAACTTTCTTCAAATGGCAATCAAGAAATGATTTCAAAGGCTGGTAAAGAAGGACTTTGGAGTTTGGACTAAAATTCATTTTTTTCGCTGTTTTTCGAGTTTCGAAGCACCCAAAGTACAAGGATTTTTTTCGAAAAAAGGGAGGATTAAAAAACCGTAATCCTCCTTGTGCACCCTTAATTTGAAAATGTATGTAAATATTTACGAAATTACTTGATTTAAATATATTGAAATATTTAAATATTTAAATCAAACGTAAATTGATGCTTTAAATTTAATTTTAAAAAACTGTATGAATTTTACATTCTCGTTTTTTATCCAAATTTTCATCGGTTAGGAATTATTTTAAATCATTACTTTGTACCTTATATTACTGTTATAATTATCCGAGTATGTCAGAAAATGGTAAATGCACCCTTAATACCAATGAGTTTATATCACATCTGAACCGGCTTTCAAAATAGATTCAACATAATGATTTATTATATAAAAGTAAGGCTTACTCAGATGTGAAAAAGAATTTCGGCTCAGATTTGATCAAATGAAGCGAATCAATGAATAAAATAAAGATTCTGATTAATTATTATAAAAAAAACTCAAACTCAAATGCAAATGCAAAGCTGTTTAAATGATATAAGCCTGACTGTGAAAGTCCTCGTTAGTAAAACTAGCATAAGATTCTTTCAGTAATGTTAAAAATTTAAAATTTGATTAGCAAAATTGATTTTATTTGATGTATCCTTGAAACTTAGCGGAATTGTATTTTGTGTTCAGCTTTTTGGTTCGAATTCTACAAAGACAAAACTACATTTATTTGATTCCAATGGATTGACGCTTACACAATTACAAATACGTATGATAAAATTCGCCTAATTAATAACTGTCGATGGAAACGTGGCCACAGTTTCCTATTCAAAATTATTTGAATTTACAATTCTTCTATGTTTGGAATATTTGACTTAATTAATAACATTTTAATATTTTAATTTGTATTTAATTTTTTCAAAAATCATCTCTTAATATTTTGATAAGGATATCTAGCTTTTTTGGAATAAATTAAATAAAAACATGAACATATCGGAATAGGCTCTGCTAAAAATTAAGTCTTCCTTTCAAAAGTTGGTATACCTTTAATATAATGTTGATTAAAATTATATTTTTATTTGCTTTATTACATATTTCCATTTGGAAATAATCCTCTTTCAATAATTGTGTGACATAAAAACGTTTCTTTTCAAATGATGATATTGTATTGAAATGCATATTAGATTATTACTTGTTATAATAAAATTTTCTTACAAAATGAATCTCGTTTTTTGAAAATTGAGTATTCACTCTTTATGGAGGAATCTACCGTCTCATCAAAGAGTCGGCGCTATACTATTAACACAAGCGTCATCAAAGACAACATTAATAACAATGTCACCGACTTTTCTGATACTATTGACAATGAATCTCTTAAATTCCTCATTCATAAAATCACATTTGGCGTAGGAAGATGTGACTATAGTGGGAAGTGGATGTTAGTTCTTGCTATGTCAGTTCCAATGATCTTTTTGATCCTTACTTCCGTCGGTCCAAATTTGTTTTATACTTCTGAGGACGATAACACAAATTTAATTGTCAAAATCATTCAATACATAACAGAAATTATTCCTTCCTCCAGTGAACCACTGATTCTTTTAATCATTAATTTATTTTTAACTTTTATTTACTTAGCCTTCGTTATTTTCTATTATTACACCATTTCACGCTACAAACAAAGCGCCTTTCCCTCGACAACCACCATAAATGCATGGATTTTCTTAACAAGGTGCATTGCTCCTTTCTTTACCTGCTATTTCTCATTTCTTTTATGGAAAGGACTTCGTCTTATCCTCAAAAACGCAGACAAAGTACAGTCAACCATCCATTTCGTATTCGGCATCATTCTTTGCATTTTACATTTCTTCAGTTTCCACCTGTCTGATAGTATCTGGCAGGCAACCCCAATTATTTGAAAGAATGATATCGGGCAGCTATGGTTTTCTTACAAAATGTTCAATTTTCTCGTTCAAGTTGTGATCTGTCTTTTTGTTTTCATGGACCAGTTATGTGTTATGATAGGAGGCCTATACGAAACAATAGTATTTCCAGCTGTAGTCCTTGTAACAGCTGTAATTTCTGTCGTTTTCTTAATTAGAAATCTTCCTTTCATTAATCCTTCTCCATGTTCATTATTCATAACGATTTACATCCAATGCTTCGTATTTTCTATCAATCCATTCATTTCAAGGTTCATTTCTAAGAGTATTACCTTTATTTTCGTTATTGATTTGATTATTTTCGTAATTTTGTATTTCATTGGCCGTTTGATTGTCTCTAAGCGTACAAAGTCAGTTGCCAGTGTATTGCATGGCCTTCATTATGAAGAAAACGAAGAAGAAGATCAACAAGAATTATATGCTTTAATTGCTGAGTCAAAACCAAAGAAACGGGTTGATTATACAGTTCTTAACATAAAACGACCTTATACAGCTGGTTTATTAATGAGAGTCGGATTTCTTTATAATATCGAAGACGTAACAAGTTTAGATTTCATTAAATTCGTTTGCAACCAATTTACAGATGCTAGACTCTATTTCTCGGCGGCTCAGATCGCTTACGCTCTTCAAACAAATCTTATTTACATTGCAGAAGTCCAGAAGCTTTGCAGTTCATCAGGATCATAGCTTGCCAATTCAGAAGTCTTTGTACAACTTCTCAACGAGCTTCGTCAAGAATTACTCACTCAATTAAACAAGCCGTTATTAGATGGACTTCACTTGGCCAAAAAGAAGAATCTTTCATTGCAAAGTGTTATTGGAGACTTCTGGGGTGCAGTTCTGAAGCAAAAGATCGAAGCCATGGCCGACCATCTTTCAAATATCACAGCAGAGATGATCCACGCAGAATGTGCTTATCAGAGATTGATCAGGAACTTCTCAAATTCTCCAATCGTCTATCGCGAAACTACATCTTTCTATAATAAGACATTAGGAAATCATATCAAAGCGATGGAGTGCCACAAACTCTCTAAAGGCAAAGCCAAGAAGGAAGGCATGCAAAGCGAATCGAATTCCACGGCCACAGATGATGTAACGAACAACAATGCTCAAGTAGATAAAGCATTTTCACAGAGAGTCGAGCCAGCCATCTCAGCGCAAGAAGTATTCGAAAACATGCCAAGTGGGCCAAGAAAAATGCTAACAACTGTATATGTTTTTGGCTTCATTTTGTCAATAATTTGTCCAATTGCAGTTATCGCGATCGGACTTATCGACATGCACTCATTCACCAAGACATTTGAACCCGTCAGAGTATTTTCCGATACTTTATATGCTGTTACCCGTATTCCACAACTCATCAGAAGATATCAACTGTATTTAAACGGCCAAATCACTCCATGGACAGCAGAAATTGGTCCTGTTAGAGGTACGAACTTAGAGTTCATTCCTCCAACGAATTGTACTTTTTCTTTACGAAATTACGTCATGGAACTCCGAAATCTTTCAGTTTCCATTCTAGATGTAGCCAAAGGAAACAAAGACATAGAAAGACTCTCAAGTTCCAAGATCTTCAACAAGAAACAGTCCAATTCCACTGTGAAATCATCGAGTTACGACATGTTAACATCATTTACAAACGCTGCTGAAAAACTTCTAAATAAAACAGATGACCAATGGAAAGTTGTCAACACAAGTGATGAAGTTATCTTCATTTTCGATAACGTTGATGAAATTGTTAATGCTTTGAAACAGATCATGAGTGTTACAAATCAAAACGTCATCAATAGAAAGAACGAGTTCAAACTCAAATCAATTATTTTGTATGTTTTGACATGGGCATTGCCTTTCATTATTATGTTACCTTTGTTGTTTATTACAATCAAGAACTTGAGAGCAGAAATTGCTTTCATTCTGAAGTTGTTCATTGGTTTCCCTAAAAACGAAATTTCCGCATTGAGATGGTCAATGAAATCATCATCCAGTACGAAGAAAGCAAACAAAAATGCAACACAAGCACAACAACAAACAAAAGTTGCTTTCCAGACATCAATTGCCGGATCTGCTTCTACATCAAGTCTCGGATCAGAATCATCTTCTGTCAGTTTCGAGAACAGGGAACCAGCAGCAGAACAAGTTGTTGATTCATTGGCAGCTTCATCGAGAAGTCATACAGGAAACTACACTAGATTTGTAAGATTCCTTTTGTTGTTTATGTTAGTTTCTTCTGTATTAACAACAATAGGAATTGCTTTATACAGATCAGCCATGTTATCCATATTAAATGTTGCTCATGGATATGTTAATGCTGTTGATTCAACATCAACTGCTGTTGCTTCTTACGTTTGGGGACAAGAATCATTCTCAAAGGCGCCAATCAACAATTTATCACTAAGCGAAGTGAAGAACAAAACATGGCATTATGTAAGTGAAATCACAGAGACATTTGATAATTTCTTGTATTCTTCTGAGAGTGGAATGAAAGCTTCTTTATTACTAGGTACAGATGTAATCAATGCTTATGTTACTTCAACAGCTGTTAATAATGTAAGTGACAAATACAAGCCACAACATGGTTTCTTACACTCTGTTTATTTCTCTTTGTCTTGTGATACTCAGTTGAGATTGTTATGGGAAACATCTTTGTTTATTATGAATGCTTCTGATCCAACGGAGTATTCATTTGATGATAATTTCACTTATCAATACGAACACTTGATTTTCTCTCATTTGGACTATTGTTTGAAAGGCGGACAAAACCTTTTGTTGGATGAAACAGACCAAATTGAGAGCAACCAGAAATACAAGATGTTCCTTTTGTTCTTCTCTTTGTTCGCTCTTCAAATCCTTGTTTATTTCACTATTATTTTAGTCCAATTTTTGAGAGCAAGAGCAATTCATCACACAGTTCATTCTCTTCTTCTTTTGATTCCTCCTGAAGCATTGCTAAAGAACCAGATGGTTTTGAAGTGGATATCAGGATCTGTTGATTACACAACATACAACAGATTGAGAGATACTTACAAATCAAAGGAATCAAGTAACATCGCTCATGATTTCATTGTAAATAACTCTAAATCTGGTTTGATTCTTTTGGACGGAGATCTAAAGATAACACAAGTAAATACAACTGTCTGTTCAATGCTGAAAATGGAAACATCACAGTTACAAGGCCAAAACTTTATCAATATCCTCAACCAGCAGTTAATGGATAAAGAAAAGGCCATTGTCGTCCATCAGTTGGAACATGACATCAATAAAATGAAGGCAGGAAGAGCAAGATCGAATTCAACATCAATACAATCATCTATTTTGGGAACAAACAACCAGATGATGTATTTGACAATAACAGTTGTAGGACACTCAGTTGACGAAGGAGCACAAGATGAAGACCATGAATCAATCGTTCCTGCTACATCTTTCTCTGTAGTTGTTGTTGATTCAACTGCAGAACACTTCCAAGCTGCTTTAGTTGCTTCTGAAAAGGCCAAAGGAGAAAAACTCATTGAAAGTTTGTTGCCACCATCAATTATCAAGAGAATGAATGAAGGTGAAACCGATATTACATTCGAAGTCCAGCAGGCAACAGTTCTTTTCACTTCCATTGTTGGATGGTCGAATTTGACTCAAGACATGAAAGCTACACAAGTTATGACAATTTTGAACTCTCTTTTCGTCGCTTACGATGAAGAATTGCATAACTTCCCAGCAATCACAAAGATGAAGACAATCGGACACATCTACATGTGCTGCGGTGGTTTGTTCTCTGATTCATCAGTTAACTCAGGCCAAGTTGTTGTTGAATACGCCACAAAATTGTTGGAAATTGCACAGAAAGTTTCGAAAGACTTGGGAATTTCCTTCCAGATTACTTGTGGTGTTAACACTGGTGGTCCAATCAAATGCGGTATTCTCGGTGTCACAAGACCTGTTTTCGATATCATCGGTGATGTCGTCAATGTCGCATCAAGAATGAACTTACACTGTTTGCCTGGTTACGTCCAGATTTCGCCATCAACTTACGACGCAATTAAGTATTTGAACTTTAATGTCAAAGAAAGAGGTGAAATTCAGGTTAAGGGTAAAGGTATGATGAAGACATACGTCGTATCCGCCAGCAGTAACAGCCAGAACAGCACAGGTTCAACATAATATGTTTTTGATAATAGAACTACTTTTTTGTTTAATTTAATTTATAAGTTTTCTAAATCATTTCAATTTTTTATTTCACTAAATTTTTTTATACAAATCAACTTGATTCAATGATGTAAGATATATCTGCTGAATCCAGTGATGATATAAAAACAAACGTTAGATCTGGTATATCTACATCAGATTATAATACTTAAAATCCAAATAGGAAAGCTGAGATCTTAGTTTATGGGAGTGAAATCACTTTTAATTCAAGTAATTGCATAAAATCACTATAATGTGAATGCTAAGCATCATTAACTCTCTACGTTTATTTCTGATCCAAATGCATGAAAAACAAAAAGAATTGTTAATGCTTTTGCTCTTTTACAAGCTCGCAATAACTACAGGTTCTGCATAAAGACAAATCAGGATAATTGAAAAAAAATTCGATATAAAATTATAATAATCCAAATAAGCAAATTTTAGTTTGCTTAAAGCTAAATAGGACTTTCTATGCCCTATAATATATCTAATTACTGCTGTGTCTCGTTCTTCTTGGAGATCTTCAGCTTGCCGAGGAACTTGGAGCGCTCCTCCTTTGTCTGGAAGCGGCCGTGTCCGAACTTGGAAGCTGTATCGATCCACTTGAGGTTGATTTCTTCTGTGGCGATACGGCGTGTGTTGATGTTGATTGTCTTGCGGAGTGTGATGGCGCGCTTGACTGTGCCGACAACAGAGCCCTTGATCATGAGGAAGTCGTCCTTGACAAGACCGTAGTGTGGGAAGCCACCCATTGGGTTGATTGACTTCTTTGTAAGATCGAAGGATGTTGAACCACCCTCGTTGATCTTGCCCTCAACTTCGGCAGCACCGATTCTGTAGATGCGCTTGTTCATCTCTGTACGGTGGTGGCAACCGCGCTGGCCGTAACGAGCGACTGACCAAAGAACACGAGCTGGGTTCCATGGGCCGATGCAAGCAACTTTCCTGCGGCCACGGTGGGTCTTCTTCTGAAGACGCTTTGTGCCGTAACGGTGGATAACACCTTCCCAACCGAAACCTTTGCCAACACCGATTGTGTCGATCTGTTCGCCCTCTGTGAAGACATCGGCGACCTTGATCTCCTTTTCGAGGATGGACTTGGCGTAGTTGAGCTTAGCAGCAACATCGCCACCGTTGATCTGGATTTCGATCATGTGAGCCTTCTTCTGGCCAAGGTGGTTGCCCTTGAGGACCTTCTTGGCACCCTGTTCGTTAGCATCAACACCGCGTGTTGTTGTCTTAGCGGACTGTGTGTGAGCGATGACACGGATGACTGTAGCCTCCTTCTGGAGTTCTTCGAGTTGCTTCTCGCGCTTCTCAGCAGCCTTGCCATTGGAGAGGCAAGAGAAAGCCTTGCGAGCCTTGGACTGGTACCAGTTCTTGTAGTAGTTACGCTTGACTTCTTCGTTGACATAGGAAGCCCAGACTGTTGTGACTGGCTTGAGGCCCTCAACTGTTGGCTTGTAACCGATGATACCAACAACGAACATTGGTGGTGTCTCGAGGATTGTGACTGGTTCGCAAGCTTCCTTCTTGTGGAGACGGGAGTTTGGACGAACGACATCACGGAGAACGTGTGTCATACCAGCCTTGTAGCCGATGAAAGCGCAAAGATGTGGCTTCTGGGAAGCATCATCCTTTGGCCATGAGCGTACGCGGCCACGGACGGCATGGGAACGGCCACGTGGGAGGAAGCCGAGAGAGCCACGGCGTGGAGCATTAAACTTACGGTGAGACATCTCAAATGAATGAACATGCGTCACTTTTTTCATGGCCGTGCATGAACGATAGGAAATTTACACCAAACTTATCAATTACCTTTCATTTATTTATATCTGTAATACATTCCTAATAAAGAGAATATACTTTCGATTTTAAGTCTCGAAACTTAATATTTAATGATATTTTTTCTGAAATCGATTATTTTATGCATTTTTGTCTACTAGTTAGTCAGACAAAGAGTTTTGCATTAGGCTAAATAATATATTTTCATAAGGATTTAATGCTAAGAATAGATTACAAATCATTTTGATTAAAAATTCATTATTTGATCATGATGAATGAAATATAGAAAGATGTAGTGAAATTAAATATTGTCAAACGAAAAAAGATACAATATAATTTAGTAATATTTTAAATGATATATATATAAATTTGCAAACAATAATTATATAGTTTCGATTATATCGAATTATTTCGCCTTATAATTTCTGATCATTTCCTGTATTTCAAAGATCTTCTTTTGAATATCATCTTGTTCTTCCTGTAAATTCTTGACATCTTGTGAAACTTCTTTGAAATCTTCTGTTAACTGGTTAAGTCTTTTATGTTGATTTGATTTATCATGTTTGTTTCCGTTTGATATTCTGTGAATCGAAAATCTTCCGACTTTTTCTTGTCCTTTGACATCTTTTGTAACATTGACGCTGTTGAATCTTGATTTTTTGTGGTGGTCTCTTGCTTTTCTTGTTACGATGATGCTGCTTCTTCTTGGAGCTGCTTTAGCTTCTTCTTCATCAAAATCGAATTGTACATCAGGAACCTTTGGCTGCGGTTGTTGTTGTGTAAGAGATTCGCCTGGCTTCGATTTTTCGTATCTTTCGTGTAATGGAGGTAATAAATTGATAATACCGAGAGTATTTTGAAGTCCTTCATCAGCATTCTTAAGGAAGCGATGATTAAGTAGTTCTTCTGATGTTGCACGCTTTTGAGGGTCCATTGTCAAACATCTCTTGACAAAGTCTCTAAATGGAGCTGAAAACTCTGCTGGTAGTTCAGGTGCCTCCTTCTCCATAATATTAACTATAGATTCCATGAACTTCATTCCTTGATAAGGCATTTTTCCTGTAGCGATTTCTATGACTGTAAGTCCAAAACTCCAGATATCGGATTTGCATGTATATCCTTCACCATTCTTGAGGATTTCTGGCGACATATAACATGCATCACCGAACATTGATAAACAAGCTTGTTTTCGAACGCCTCCTTGTATCAATGAAGTCGCTAATCCGAAATCTGAGAGCTTGGCTTCTCCTTTACTATTCAACAATACGTTGCAGCTCTTCACATTTCTATGAATTTGATGACATCTGTGGAAATAATCAAGTGCTTTTAGAAATCCGTTTATAATATTGGCGCATGCTAATTCATCCTTAATGCCTCTTGGATATCCGTATTTAAGAATATCTTCAAGTGAACCTGCGTCCATAAATTCAGTCAAAATCCAAACTTGAGCTCCTGTTACAAAAGAGCCGTAGTATTGAACAATATTTGGATCACTGCTCTTCGACCACATAGAAGTTTGTTTCTGAATGTTCTCTAACGGGTATGGGAAATCTTCGAGATTAATTATTTTGACACAAAGTGTTTGTTGATTTGCAAGGCATTTCGCTTCGTAAACGTTAGAATACATTCCCCTTCCTACTTGATGAAGAATTTCATATTGTTCAGGAACAAGTGGGAATGACATAATAAATTTATTTCTGTGTGTTAAAACCGAAAACCAAAATCTTTTTGATTAGTCTGTGTTTTATTTGATGTTGAAGATAATTCACGCATAAGTGTGTAAACGATCATATTTTCTGAACTTTACGAAATAATTTCTAATCATTTGAAAGGTGTTTAGTAGAAAAGTTGAAATTGAGAAAAATATAGATTTTTGTATAAACACTTCCTGTGTATGTAAAATAAATAAATTTCGCAACGAACTTTTTTCTTGAGCGAAACTCAAGTGTTTTCAATGCATAAATTGAAAATGCCCATTGAAACACTCCTCGTTGTATTGTAATTTACCATTTTTGTAACGACTAATCAAATATTCACCATTGTTGATAAAATTTCTCACAAAATTTATGCTTTTCCGGTCAATTTATTCGCAATAAGTGCTGTTTTTTAAATAGATGAACCTCATGTTATGTGTAAAATGATTGTAACTTGTAAATAAATTAAACTCAAAATATCGATGACTTATTTTGGGAAGAATAAAAGAAAACATTAAATTTCAGGATTAGTTAAAACTTAGATAGGGAACGAAATAGAAAAATACTGATGTTCATCCTTAACAATAACAATGAAATACTAAAGTCAAAGAATACTTTTGGTTGTGGTTCTGGGATCATTTCTTAAGACACTTCAACCACTGATTCATAATCTATTCTAAGACGAATGAATCTGATGACGAATGATAGGAATCGGCCTTGGCTAAATTCGCTCTCGGGCGCTTGATGAGAACAAGGGTTCAACGATTTCATTCAGAAGGTTTTTTTACCCCAGATCCTTTTTGGAATAAGCAATATGTTTAATCTGTACGTGATCAACAAAGTTGTTTCCTGCTAGAATTTTCCAAATCATATTGATAATTCTAATAATTTTTCCATATCAAATTTAAACTATTAAATTTGGATTCAGAATAACGCCTTAAATAATTACAGTCTGGAAGGATATATGAATGTTTTGTTTATCAACGAATAGTTAACTTAATTGAAAATATATTTTAGAATTCTTGAAAAAAGGAAATATATAAGAATAATGATGAAATTTTTAGCCAGATATGATGGTTTTCTATAATATTTTTTTCCAATTAAAAACATAAATTGTATTTTTATTTCTGAGCTGGCATATACAATGGAATTTGGAGTGGTCGAGGTGGTATATAGCTTGATTGGATCTGATCTTGCTGTGGGTAGTAACTTGGTGGTGGTTGATGCCTTCTCATTTCGATTGGAGGTCTCTTATTATTTCCTGGTGGTGAATGGGAAGATAATGAAGGAATTACTTTTGAATTTTGCTGTGGAGATCTGTTCTGGCGACTTGGGATTGATCTCATTACGTTTTCTGTAGGAATTGTTATATTTTCTAATTGGTTGACCATTTCTTCCTGTGGAACATTCTGTGGTTCCCATGGTGACTGTGCAATAATTGGAGAATCTTCCAAAGATTGTACAGCTGAAGAGGAAGTATATGAATCTTCATCTTCCTCAAAATTGCCGCTGAGTTGTGCCAAAAGAGGGCTAAAATTGTTAAGAGGCGATGCTGGGACTGGATCTGGAATTGGTCCTGGTGTTGGTGCGTTAGATGTTGATTTTCTGATAGGAGCAAACCAACTAAGGGATCTACTTGGATGAAGATGTGGTCTACCCTCAAAGAACTGTGGTAATGATACTGGTGGTGGTGTTCCAAGGATATCTTGTGATCTATCTTCTCCATCATCGATTTCAAATTCCTTTTCAGCCAAGATATTGTTGAATGGGAGCGGTTTGGTGGAAGCCTCAGATCTGCGGCGTTCTTTGCTGCTGGCCTGTTGGATATAATTCAAAAGTTGGAGGCTGGCATTTGAATGTGTTCTTTGTCTTGGAGTTCCAGCGGTGCGACGTCTGATAGGTGTATCTGTCTTAAATGTGTTATTGTGAACGACTGGTAATGTAGCGAATGCTTTTGATTCAGAAAGAGATTCTGAGTAACTGTCATCATCTGCTTCATAAAGCTTATCATTTGAGATTGATGTTGGAAGCTCTGTCATTTTGCTGGCAGTGACAACTGTTTCTGCTGTAGTGGTCAATGGAGAATTAGAATTTTCATCAGAAATAATTGTATTTTCGAGGGAAGGTTCCTTCTTTTGTGCTGCATAAATGATAACAGGTGCACTTCCTGAAACTTTGATCTCAGCTTGGTTATCATTTGTATTCTCGGATTTCTCCTGAATAGCGCTGAGGTCATCGATGGAATATGCTTTAACTGACTCCATATCATTGCCAATAATTGTTTCGATGATAGATGCTTTTTCACCAGTTGTATCTGCGAAAGGATCTTTGATTTCCTGGCTATTATTGGGCTTTACATTCGATTTTCTTGGTGCTGAATCATAAACTTTCTCTTCCTCTTCATCACTTAAAATGTCAGACATATGTCTTTCGTCAAATATTGAGATATCGAATTTTTGGTAATCCTTAAGTGATTCTCCTGGAAGTTTTGAGGTGAAACCAAGTGGTGCATTGAATTCTTTCGCTTTATTTTCGTTGAGATGAATTTCGATGAAAACTATTGGATGATACTTTTGGGTCGGTGCTATTTCCATTTCAAAATAATCACGAACAACAAGATTTTCAGGGAACCATTTCAAAGGAATATTGACTTTTGCAAGTAAATTTTGTAATTTATCACTTGTAATAAGTGAGATAGATAATATGAGATCATTTTTGTTATTATAGCCACAGTATAGCTCCGGTGCTCGCTTGGATCTCAGATATTTTCTTCCGGTGAAATAAAAATTTCCTGATAAGGAAATGGGCTGAATATCAAGCCGAACGTCTATTTTCGTCTGAGCAAGATCGCCCTCATCAGGCATTGTAATTTGATTAATCCGTACACATAATTGTTTTTCTGACATTTAAAAATCTTGACACTTTTTTATTCTTGAAATTCAAATCTTTTTACAATTTGCCACTTCAATTAAGTCAGCGTAAGATTACAATATGTTGCTTAGTGTGTGTAGATCATAAATTCAAAGAGATTGACGTTTCAATTTCTAAAATTACTTTTGCTAGGAAGAACTTTTGAAAGATAGACTCAATCGAAGTTGATAAGCAATGAGTAAGGAGTAATTCTAACTAGATTTTTGTATCGTGATGGTTCCTGGCCGAACAATAACTAAATTTTGTAATGACATATTAATATCCTATTTTAACACTGAGGTTAGCATTTTTATGGTATAGGATATAAGTTGCTGCGTTCATTTCCTAGTTATCTAATTTGTGCCAAGAGCAGTAAAATCTGAATCTAGATTTTTTGATTATAATAAGATCTTCAAAATGCATATTATTTAATTTTGAATCTTTCAATCTCAAAAGTTTAGAAATCTTCACCGAATCGTTTGATCAAATCGAAAATATGAAAACGAGCATATTAATGACATATACAGATACTGTCCAGTGTCTGATGGTATGAAACAAATCTTCCCAAATCATGTTTGCCCATCAGATTTCGTAAAGAATGAGACCATAGAATGTAAGGGTATTATTCAATACTCGTACATAAAATCATCCGTGACTGTTTGTGAGGCAACTTAATAACATTAAAATAGCTGAGAGAATAAAAAGTCAAAAGATGATAAAAATAGACAATCCAAATCAACTAGTATTTGCATATAATTCTAAACTTCTACTTAGTTCAATCTGAATCAACAACTCATTTTGAAGCAATTATCATATTTGAATCATGTTTCATTAGATTATATGACCATCGTTTATTTAACCAAATAACATTGCCTTATAATGCATAGTTATATCAATTATTGATTCCCTAATGTTATAGGAAGCAAAAATTAATCTTCAAAAATATCCATGGAAAGAGGACTTTAAAACTCAAGCATCTAGTAGTATATTCAATGGATAGTAACTATTTCATATATTGAACTCTCAATAACCATTTCATTAACTCAAGATTATTACAATTGTAACGATTTTCATGTATCTCAATCTTCTAGATCTATAGCAATCTGTTTGTGAATTAGATTTCCAAAAATTTTCCAAATAAATGACCAAAATTGACAAAACCGCTGTCGATAATTGGTCATTTAGAAAATGAGCGTGCAGCAAGCTATTGACATCAAAAGAGTAGCAGTTCACCCAATTGTTCTTCTTTCAATTGCAGATCATCATAACAGAATTGTTAACAACAGAACTAAGAGAGTTATCGGTATTCTTCTTGGTGATGTTTACCAAGGACAAGTAAATGTTTTGCAATGCTTCGCTATCCCATTCGAAGAAGATATTGATAATCCAAACATCTTTTTCGTTGACACAAACTTCATCGATGAAATGTTTAAACTCCACAAGAAAGTCACACTCAAAGAGAAAATCATTGGCTGGTATAGCTCACTCTCAACAATATCTCCAAACGATCTCGAGATTCACAAGGTCATTTCTAAATATAATCCAACTCCAATCTTCCTTACAACCGATGTTGGCGCTTCAGATCCACATGAAATTCCAACATGCGCCTATATTGGCACTGAACGCGAGAGAGTTGATGGTCTTCCTCTTGTTACAACATTTAAGACTCTTCCAACAGTTGTTGACTTCTTGGAAGTTGAAGAAATTGGTGTCGAGCACCTTCTTCGTGATATCAAGGATGTTGATGTCTCAGAAATCGGTACAACCCTTACAAACAGTATGCACGGCCTTGCTGCTCTCGAACACAGACTTAAGGCTATCTCGGATTACTTAAATGATGTTATTGAAGGAAAGCTTCCAATCGAAAATGAAATCATTGGCGTTATTCAGTCAATCTTTAACTTACTTCCAAATCTTACATTAAAGGAGACTGTAGACTCCTTAGCTACAAAGGCTGATGATGAAACATTCATGATTTTCATCTCTCAGCTCTGCAGAAGCGTTGTCTCTCTCCATGATTTAGTTAACACACGCCACCCACCTCTCGCTGAAAAGGAGAAGGCTAAAGAGGAGGCAGAAAAGCCTAAGAATTAAATAATATCTTTTTGTTGGGATAATCTCTCTTTTTTTATACGAATTTTTTTAAATTATTAAATTTATTAGTTAAACTTTGACGATTTAATTTTCAAAACTTCTTATTTAACTAAAACAATGCTAATCCTACGTTTTAAAATCTTCGAAAATTCCAAATTTTTTTCAAAAATCGAAAAATGAATAAAAATTTCTAGAAAATTATTTTCATATTTTAAATTTCGAAAAAAAATTTGGAAATCAAACTTTCACGTTTATCTGATAAACAAGCTATATACATTAAGAAAAATCGATTCCCATTATAAATTTTAAAATTAATATAAAAAAAGTAATAATTTTAGTTACAAAGTATAATGAAAACATTTTATTTTGCTTTAGGAAACAGACAAATTACGAATCTTTTCAATAACTTCTTGGATTGTACGTTGTAAGTTCTGTCGCATGACATTATTGTTTTGTGTACGCATGTTAGCTGGGTATTGTGTCTCGAAACCGCTTGTTTGTATTTTATGCTCTAACTGAGAAGCGTCCGTAAGGATTTTATGGATTGTTTTGATATCATTATCTTTTTCTTCGATCCATGTTCTGAGCTCTCTAAATGGATCGACACCATCGAGTTGAAGATGGCAGAATGGGCATTTGAATGTTGAGTTCCTACGATTCGGTATTTCAACACAATCGCGATGAAGATAGCAATGGCATTCACTGCATTGAATTAATTCACCTGTACATTCGTTTTTACCGCAAATGCATCTGATTGTTTCATAGGGACCCAATTGACTTTTAGTAACTACTTTTTCTTCAGTAGCATACTCTGGTTTGAGCTCAGAAAGAATAAGATCGGCAAATGCAAGTGATGTCAAGTCAAACTGAGAAATGTATTCCTGATCTGGAGTACGAGGTTGATACATTCACAATGTCACTTTTTATTCATAAAGAATCATCACAAAATGGAAATTTAACTTACAAACCAAGGTTGATTTTTGGAGTCCTTTAATTTCACCGCATATTTGCTGTTTGAATTTTTCTTTTTGAATTTTGGATGTTGAATTCGAAGGAGTCTGATGATAGAGAATCTAAGAATGATTTTAGAATAACAAAGAAGGAGGAAGAACCAAACGAAATAACTGAAAAAATACCTCGAGAAGTTTTTGTTTCCGCCTTGCAAAATTGCAATATACCAGAAAACTTTAAAATCGTCAGAAAATACCTAAAATCTCATCGTTTTTCAAGTAACCTTATGGAATATCTACAAAATATTGTATCTTTATTGAATCCTGAAATATCTCCAGATCCAGAAACTCGAGACAGAGTTTTCAAACTTATACACACTATTATCGAAGACAATGATGTATACTATGTTCTAATTTATCAATTCAATTTCCACGAAATAATTTATCAATTCTTCCCAGAACCAGGATGCTTAGTATTACTTGCTGATTTACTTTATTTAGATCCGATAGAGAATGATGACAATACTAATTTCCTTAAAGTATTTACATTTTTAATGAATAATGATTTTGTAACGAGATTTATTGAAGTTTTAAGCAATTACACAGAAGATAACATTAATTTACTTATTGATATCATTCGAGCTCTCGGAAGATACAGAACATCAGAAATAAATTTAAACACAGAATTTCAAAAATACATATTAATTGGCGATAAGTTACTAGAGTTCTTAGGAAACTGCTCTGATGAGAACATTTTTGGCAAATTCATTACATGCTTAGCAAGAATTCAAGTCTCTGTACAAAAAATTACATTAAAATACATAGAAGATGATCAATTATTCGAGTTCTTACTGTCATTCCCAGAGAACTCACCTCTTATCGGTAAATCATTTGAATTCTTTAGGATTTGTCTTCATAGTCTGAGAAATTATCATTTCAACGATGAAAAATTCGAAAGACTGCTTCAATACTGCTTTAATTTCATCACAGATGATAGCCCTGTTTTAGGAGATGCATGTTACTTCTTTGCTCAAGCGATTCAATACTCAAAATCAGATGATGAAAAATATATCAATTATTTCTTCTCAGCAGGCTGGTTTAATAGAGTTTTCACATTGGCTAATAACAGCTACTCTTTTAGTGTTAAAAAAGATCTTACAGACGTAGTTTTGGCTTTTATTGACTCAACAAGGAATCCAGAATTAATGCAGCAGATGATTGACAGCGGAATCATAGGATTTATAGAAATGTGCATTGAATCAATGCCAGATCAAATGGAATGCTTTTTAGATGCGATTTATAGAATTTTAGAAGTTGCCGATAACAGTGATGAAGAAAGCTGGAAGTATGAAATATTCGAGAATGAAACCATCTCAGATATCATTTACAACTACAATCCAAAGAATGAAGACGAAGAAGATGCAATTACCGCTATTATGTCATTTGATCCTTATAAAGAATGATGTTAATAATACCATATACATATATTGACCAAATGGTCCATTATAATAGATTGTCTTTAATAAATTTAGATATTATTTATTTTATATTTGATAAACTGAGCTTTTCCATTACCAAACTATCTTATATGTAGTATATGTTCAAGCCATGCATGATAGATCATATTATATTTTATTTTGCATTTCATTTTATCAAAATTTAATTATAAGGTCACATATTTCTCGTCATAATATGAACCCTTAAAGGACCAATCTTTTCAGAAACTAATTATTAATTAAAATTTATCGATGAAATAAAACAAAAATTGAGAGAGAGGTTTTGAAAATTTCGATAATTTACGCTTCGTTTTATAATTTGATTGTATACAATTTTCTATTCATCTGCAAATGCAAACCATTGAATTTTACGCCGCTACAGAAATCTCTCAAATATTACTGTGATTCTCAATAATTTCATTTAAACCTCCGTAACAGTAGAATACTATTATACTTCTTTAAAAGCCTAATTTATCAAAATAACAGATTTTTACAATTCGTAAGAAAATTTGTCCAAAAAAGATGATGTCGCAATTCATTCCAACAGGGTTTTCATTTCTCAAATCTTTGAATAGTGGATTCCTTGGGCCGTCATATTTGTTAAAAAAGAATGATAATAACAAACAATACATTTGCAAAGGTTTTATAAAATCAGCAATTGGCGACGATGCTGATGTTGACAATTTTATTCAAATAATTAAGATTTCTCGTAAGTTAAAAGAAGCATGTTTCCTACCGTATCATTATTTCTACATCATGGATCAATATATTTATGCAGTTCGTCCATTTTTCGAGGGTTTAGACCTCTCCGCTTACATCGCAAATTGTGCAACAGATATTAACATCGTGTACGCTCAATGGAAGGTCCTTTGCCGACTTTATCGACATCTTCATAAAAGAAAAATTTCTCCAAATTTCATAAAACCAAGTAATATATTCATGGAAAATGGATCTATTGCATTTATTACCGACATATACCCACCTCCTCGTACTTTCAACCCGACAATTCATCGTTCAAACCCATTCGATGTTGGTTTTCTTTCTCCAGAATATTTAATACCAGGATCATTTCCAACATACAAGGCCGATATTTGGTCGTTAGGAATCTTGTTATGGTTTATGACAGTTAAAAAATTGCCTTGGAACATTAATAACGTTGTCGTAATGCTTAAACAAATACAGAAAGGATCTCCAGAGAATTTTGCAGTTCTTCCTGTTGAAATCAGAGATATCGTTGCATCAATGCTTGTTTTCAATCCAGAGAAGCGCGTAGACTCAGAAGTTCTTGTTCACTCAAGACCAGGTGCTTCGATGAACTCTCACGATGATCGCCATTCAACTTTGAAAGGAGCTGCTGATAATGTCCTCAAATCTGTGAAAATTTCAGCAAGTCCATCTGCTATTGGTGGTATCCTTCCAGTTAGAAGACGTAATCCAAACGAAGACGGCGCTCATGATGATCAGCACTATGGAGACGATATATCTCCACACGTTCCTCAAAGATTCACGAGAATGGTGAACTTGAGCTCTCAGAGACAGAATTCGCTTCATCAGCTTTCAAAAATCAGTGTTAAGTAACTTATTTATTTTTGTTTTATTTTATATTTGTAATAAATATCATTATAGAGTTTATACATTCAATTTTTAACCTTAGCTACTTAATATCAAGAGAATAACCTGTAGTTCATGGCAATCCAAAAGTGAAATCTTCACGTTTCGCTACTTTAACCGTAATTGGCTACCCAACAAACCTGCTTAGGCAATGCTATTAAGAGATGAATTTCCGAAAGTAATCCTCTTACACAAAGAAAAGATAACTGAAATTGAATAAAATTATATTTATGCATTCAATTGGGAATTTCTCGCATATGTTCGTACATGAGCAAATACTATACCTTTTGCGAATAAAGAATTTTTTCATAAAAAAATTTTTTAGGAATTAGCATATCGGCGTTTTGCGACATTGCCAAACGCCAGATTTTAACCCGACATATGAGCATAAGCTCGTATATTGGAATAAACTCGACTTATTCCATATTAAAGTTATTATAATAATAAGGCACTTAATGTGCAAATCTAATTGAATTAGAAAATGCACATTAAGTGCCTTTTATTGGAATATGTAATACCACATATGGAATATGAAATATGATTTGCGGAATACCACATATAGAATATGTAATCAAAATACAAAGATATTTTATATTGTTCCGTACCGAAATGCATCACTAGAAAAAGTGACAAAAAAGTGATACTTACTCTTATTTTGCGCGGCAACTTTTCTATATATTAATCTTAACTTCTTTGCAACCCAGCCTCCAATCTTCCCTTTATTTGCATCTAATGTCTTCGAAACCCTTCCTCCACTCATTTTATTTACTGCGTCATAAGCTCCAAGTGCTTTTGCTCCAAATGCTAATGCTTTTGTTCCCATTGCGCCTAAAGCTGCCCAAGCTACCATTTACACCATATTAAAATCATCTCTCTTCAATATTATCTCATAAAAGTTCTCGTTACTGGAGAAAGTCAATGAAACATAAACATTCTCACGGGCTTCGCCCTCACCGCTTTGCGGTCTATCTAACTTCTTTCTTATATCATCTATACGCTTCAAAATGTCTGAACAATCGCTAACATCTTCTACAACAGTTATTTCATCATGAATGACCTTCAAGAACAAGCTCATTTAATATGCTATTAAAATCATCTCAATAATGAGTCCATCCTTTCCATCTTTAGGTAGCACAACATCTTTCATTGAAGAAGGTTCGACAAGTCTTATGTTAAACTTACTGACAAAGTTTGTTATACTATAATGCTTCGGCGGCGAATACATGTAGTTTGAAAGACATAATATAGATTCTTCAGCAAATTCACTTATACTGGATTTTATAACAATGTTCTCACGAGACCAAATACCACCAATTGACAATCTTGTAAGCAATCCTGCTGAACCTTCAACTGTAAACGTCGATGGTAACATTCCACGAAGGTCATCTATTGACATCTTTGAGTCACTGAATTTAAAGATTTTCTTAAAGCAATCGTCATTATCTAACCATGCAATAGCTTTGAAGTTTTCATTCGAATAGACATCTGCTTCATTAAATGTAAAACCTGACTTCTTTGCAGAGATGACTTTAAAATCTATTGAGTTTGTTTCAAAATTATATGCTATGGTAACTTTTGAAGGTAATGGATGTCCTTCCGCAGTCAGTTGTTCTCTCACTACCGTTTGAAGCTTTGTGTTAAAAACTTTCATGTCATCTCCTGTGTCTAGGTTCACATACACAGCAACAGGAAAACTATCTTGCTTCTTTGTTTCATCATTATATCTCAAAACATTAAAGTTCTTCAATAATATTGTTCTTCCTGCTGGAATACTTCGAACCTGTCTGATTTCAATAGCTTTCTCACCTCCTACATACTCTACCCAGTGTCTTGGATATTCATAAGTATACTGACTTTCTTGAATTTTGGTTGGTTTCATCATAACATGTTCATAGTATATCTTTATACTCTTGTCAGTTAGACTCGGTGCTATGTTCTGAATATTTCTGACTTGCATTTTTAATTATAATAAAATGAAACATTTATTTGAAGAAGTAGATGAAGACATGAATGAAACTACAGACAAACTTAACTCTTCTCTTATTCTTCCTTTCAGCAAAGATTATGAATTCTGTTCAAATGGTGTGTATTTCTATTGTGGAAAGATGGGTTCAGGTAAGACATTTAATTTAATTCGTCATATACTCATAACAGAGCGTTTAGGAAACGACTCTTACTATGACCAAATCATTATATCAGCAACTTCAGACTCTATGGACTCAACAGCGAAAACATTTATGTCAAAAGTTCAAGCCTCTGTCGTTAAAGTTCCAGATAGCGAACTCATTGAATTTCTTCAACGTTACATTCGGCGTAAGAGGAAATATTATGCCATCGTTGAATTTATACAGTCAGGAATGCAAAAGACTTCTGAGGAGATGGAAAGAATTATTGACAAACACCACTTACGTCAATACTCAGGAGTTTACGATATGAAACGACTTACAAACTACATTCTATCAAAACTTTCAAAATACCCCTTCAAAAAGTATCCTTCAAACACTCTGCTCGTTTGTGACGACTTCGCCGGAAAAGGTTTAGTTTCAAAGCCTGACTCACCATTAGCTAACATCATTACTAAAGTCAGACATTACCATTTAACTGTAGCAATACTTATGCAAACATGGAGGTTTTTAGCTTTAAACATAAAACGTCTCATAACTGACTTCGTTATCTTTCAAGGTTTCTCACGTTATGATATTGAACTCATTTGGAAACAGTCAGGTATAACATTACCTTTTGAAGAAATTTGGGAAGCATATAAGTCTTTCATCTCTCCTCGTTCATACCTTGAGATTCATATCATGACTAATACCATTAAAGTCAAAAATATTCCATGGGAACGACCAACATCGTTTTAAAGTTTAACCTTCAATTGACTGATGGTAAACAAATTCCATGCATCTCTGTCGCCATTTCTGTTAATATTTTTGCTGTCATTCATATCATCCACTTCCCCATCCGTTAGCTTTTGAGGATATGCGTTAGAATAGCTGTTCTTAAATGAAGGCTTTTCACCTTTGAGAGCATAAACTCTATAACTTTCTGCATACTTTATGTTTGAACCTCCTGAGCCATCATTGACATAAATTTTTATAGGCTTCCACCCTTTGTTCATATTCCTGCTTCTTCCCTTTGCTCTTTTGTTCAGTAGTTCTACATCTTTATACACAGCTCCTGTCTCAGTGAATTCAACAATATTTTCATTCGTTAGCTTTACATTCAAACCCTTGTCGAGTATATTGTTCATTTCATACATATAAAAGGTTTTTATTCTATATGAAATGAGAAGCAAATCCATCTTAGCTGGTGCCGTTAATGTTCCAATTGAACCAACATCAAATGTTGACTCACGAACGACAAACAATATTGTCATAAAGAACTATAGTTCAGAGTGTTTGAAAGAAAAAGAACCAGAACTTAAGTCGGTGAATTTAAACTCAGCTTCAAACGCTAACGCTACATCAGATGTTAAGTTAGAGTATCCACCATTAGACCAAATTCTTTCAAGAGAAGCCAACGACAATCCTTACACAAATGTTCAAACAAATCCTTCAGATAACGTAGACCATTACCTTCTTCAGTTATACCAAACAATTTTACTCAAAGACAATAAGAAACTTTTGGTAAATCTTATAAGCAAGAACCAAATAATTCTAACAAAGGAGGACCTTGAAAATGTTATATCACGAATAACAGGAAAGCAATGTGTCATTGACTATCTCGACCCTGAAATCGAATGCTGTGGTCAAACTCCACTATTCATGAAAATAGGTAACATCCGCATCATTGAAACACCAGGAACTACAGGAGTTGAGTTTAAGTATAAATATTCGAACGAGTATACAAAACTATCTACTGACTATAAGCTTTGTTTGAAATATGTTTTAGTAAATTAAAGCAGTCAGGACCTTCGGTCTTGGCGCTTTGCGCCGTCAGTCAAAAAATTTCAAGTTAGCAATTTGTAATATCTATCCAAAACTTCTTCAACAGTATCGAACTCATCTTCATAATGCAAACCTAATCTTATTGACTTGGTGCAGTTTTCACTAACACAATATTTTTCTGTTCTCTTGACTGACATAACTAACTCATTTGTTTCATCAAACAGCAACAACCAAAGTTCATGACTAATACATAACATTCATACTTTATATTTTTAGCTCTGAGTTCTCTTGTAAGCTGTTGCATTTAATATTTTCTAAAAAGTCAACTTCAACAGTCATTCGCACTGGTGCCTTCAGTTCTACAGGCTCTCCTTGAAAGTCAACAAGTCTGAATTGCATGTCTTTCAAATTATGAGGACTAATGCGAACCATTTACCTAAATGAGTTGCTATGACAGGAACGTTTGGAATGAACATTGAATTGACTGCATAACAGAAGGATTTATATTCTACTGAACCTTTACTATTAACTCCTGAACTGCCTGTGACATTAGCTATTTTAGACTCAATGTATAAACAATTACCATAACATACGTATGGAACAGATTTCATCTCAATCGTTTTGTCAACACTTTTCAAAGGAAATGTCATATGGTATGCTCCCAGAAGCAATTGAACTCTATGACTCATTCGTGTTATCTTAAACTCCTTCGCATAACTGAACTTCAATGTTCCCTCAGAAGAGAGTTCGACATCTATGTTGTCAATAGTTTCTTCATTTATGAGAGTATCTATGACTCCAGCAATTTTATCTATTCTATACCCAGCTCTGTTAGGAAATATTATAACACTTATTTTGTCATCTATTTCAATCTCTATGAAATCTGTTTCATCTGTTATGACAAAAGTTGCGAGTATTGAAGTCAACAACTCTGAAAGCAAGCGCTTCATTCTGAAGACCTAAGTTTGTTTGTAGCTTTACTGTCCCGTATTCGTTTGGGTCTGTACTTTGCAAATAGAACAACATTTTATTCTCATTAAAATATGACTATTGCTGCATATGCGTATGAAACAAATGAAGCAAGAAGAGCACATGAACTAGTTAACGAAAACTCAACTTTAACAATTGAAGGCAATGATTTAGTCATTGACGATGGAAAAACTAAAAAAGTCATTGATTTCGATACTTTTAACACTTATGACCCATTCATTACAACAAGCAAGGTTCCCATCATAAATGATGGAACGGTGCAATATATAAATTCAACAGTAGATGTCTCATTAGTGAAAGTACTGAATGTTCTCATTGAATTACTAAAGAGCTTCCGATTTGACGACAACATTAAATGCTTAAAGAATTTAGTCATGAATGAGAAACAAATTCTCGGCGTTGCTGGTAGCAGTAATGATGTACACCTTATGACATTAGAATATTATAACGAACATAAAGATGAACTGAAAGGAGAGAAGGGTGACACCGGACCTCAAGGACCACAAGGAATACAAGGACCTCAAGGCGAAAACGGTTTGGATGGTGAAGATGGAAAGGATGGAAAAACTGCTAAATCATGGATATGGGACCTTATAAATACTGGTTTAACAGCTGCTTCATATGGAGTTCTTCAATACCAAATCGGAAAGATATGGGCAGTACTTGGTGAAGAAGTTTTAGATGACGTTAAAAATGCTTTGAACTTCATTTCAAATGGTTCGGATACTATTAAAACTTTATCTGGTTGGATGCAAGAAACAAGGAGTCAAATAGATACTGTAAGACGTATAGCAAACAATGCACGTACGGGATTGGATACTTTACGAGAAGCACAAAATACACTAAAGGAAGCAAATGATATTCTTGGCTCAGTATCAGACATGCATGAAGATTGGCTTAAAGGTATTGACAAATCTTTAAAAAATCACAGTCAGTCTATTGCTGACTACAAGAAAAGTATAGATTTTTTACATAGTGTTATGGACGTACATGATGGAAGCATAAGGAACTTACTTAATGCTAACAATAACTTACCAGGAACTATTAAAGCATTTATAAAGTCCTTTGTAAAACCTGGTGCTCTAACATTTAGGTCTTTGAGAGCAAGAGCATTGAAGTCAAGAGATGCAGAAACTCCAACAGAACCTACAGAAGGAACTGAAACAACAGAAACTCCAGAAGAACCACCAAAACCAACAGCTAATGAAATATTGTTCGAATATTTTCCAAGGTACTCTGTTCTCATTGCATACATTCAAGAAATACTTAAGAAAGCAGACTTGACTTTAGGAGATGATGAAAGTTCTGTATATCTTTCGTTCCAGTTTCAAATAGCAGAACTTTTGAGACAGATGTGCTTAATGTATGACAACATCTCTGATTTCACAAGATATGATGACGACCATGACCCCGAACACGGTGAAGAAGAAGTTTTACAAACATCCATTAAGACAGGAAAGGTTTTAACTCAAAGTCTCATTATTGACACCAAAGATGGTGAAGTGGACGTTCTTCAAGAGCTGAAGAAAAATACTTCTGAAGGAGGTGGTGGTAGGCATGAACTTGAAATAAATGAGATAGAAGAGAAATTAGCCGAAAAAGCAGATAAAAACCATGTTCATTATATAAGTTCAGACGAACAGATTATAACGGACTACCATGGATATTTAACACGAACTGAAGAAAGAGTGAAGACGGAAGATGTTAATGAAAGAAGATATAAATTCATTCGTGCTAAAGGTTATGACATAAGCTGTACTGTACAGTATGACACAGGTAAAGCACCAGAAGCATTTGGTTATAACAATGAAATTTATGCTTCATACTTCTTTGTTAACGGTGTATTAGTTGAACCAAGATTTACTTTGCGAGTTAAGGCAAAAATAACTTTTGAAGATGCTATTAAAAGTAAAGCTGACAAAGATGAACTTGACGCAACGAACAAAGTTTTGAAATCTCATAAACACAATATCTCCGATATAAATGAACTTCAAGCTACATTAAATAGTAAAGCTGACAAGAACCATACACATGAATCCTTCACTACTGTTAGAGCAGACGACATAATATTGAACTATGATTTGGGTTCAAGTGCACCTTTAGAGAATCCGAGTCCAAGCGTAAAAGATACACTAAACTCCTTAAATAACAAATGTATGAATATCGAAGGTCATGTCAGAAACTTTGAAACACATGAACTACCAGCAATGTTAGATAAGAAAGCAGATAAAGAACATACACATAACTCCTTCTCAACTGTTGCTATAGAAAGTATTGAAGGAACGGTTGGCGGAACTGGTGGGGATGCATTATATTATAAACCTCCTAACTTTCCACAAGGTTTAACATCGAATGAAAACATAACAACGAAGAAAGACATTAGCTGTAAAAATGTTTATGTTATGGATGATGAAAATAATGTTAAATTCACTGCTCAAGATTTATATGATAAGAAAGCCGACAAGAACCATACACATAAATCCTTCACTACTGTTAGAGCAGACGACATAATATTGAACTATGATTTGGGTTCAAGTGCACCTTTAGAGAATCCGAGTCCAAGCGTAAAAGATACTCTTAACAATTTAGATAACAGTTGCAGGAATATCGAAGATCATGCCAGAAACTTTGAAGCATATGAACTACCAACAATGTTAGATAAGAAAGCCGACAAAACAGAGCTTCAAACATTAAAGACTGAAATACTTCAAACATTATATCCTACAGGCTCTATTTATACGTCAATGAATTCAACAAATCCAGCAACAGTTCTGGGTTTTGGTTCATGGAAGCAGATTGTAAACAAATTCTTATATTGTACTAATAATTCAAAACAAGCCGGTGGTTCAAAGAAAATTAAAGAAGCAAACTTACCTCCGCACACTCATACAGGAACGACAAACTTTTCTGGCGACCATACCCACTCATTAAGAGACCACCCATTATACAACTCAGACTATGAAGCAGGCAATGACGTTTTATCTCCATCTTATAACAATTCAGCAAAAAAGACTTTTCGACCAACTGAACCAGGAGGAAATCATGTCCATACTTTCACAACAAATCCAACAGGCTTGGGTAAAGATTACATGCCACCATTTGTGACTGTATTCGCATGGTACCGCGTTCAATGAACGCGCTTGAGCCTAGACCCTTTGGGTCAAGGCTTACCGTCTTGAATAAAATCTTTAACTTTACATAAATGAGCTTGAAAGAAGTATTCGAACAACATCCATGGAGGTCATTTAAGAAGTTCAATGAAGCTGCAAAGAGTTGGGGATTTACTAACAGAGCTGAAGTGAAAAGGTTCTTTGACAAAAATGTTGTACATCAAACAAAAATAAACCCTTACGACTACTTTTTACCAATTTACTCCAACACTCCTGACGCATACCAATTTGACACTCTCGTTTCAGAGTAAGAAAGGAAGAAAGCCACCATTCCTCATCTTCATTAATGTTAACACTCGCAAAGCATATGCATATCCAATGAAAAATAAAGGAACTCGTGAAGTGTTAAGAGTTTTACAAAAGTTTTAGCAGAACATAGCCCAAGTACTTTAACATCAGACCAAGACAGTGCATACCTCAGCAATGAAATCACAGATTTTCTCATTAAGCATAACATAACTCACTACACTACTGAAGACCATAACCATAACATACTCGGCATCATAAACCGCTTCATAAGAACGCTCAGAGATTTAAACCAAGAGCGAGACTTTACCGAAGAAACAATGAAACATTTTCTCGAAGTATATAATTCCTCAACACATTCTACAACAGGACATACACCAAATTCAATGACACAACAACAAGAAAAAAGTATATACAAAAGAAACGAAGTCAAACACAAAATATCAGAAATTCAACACAATTTACCCTCATTCCTGGTACAAAAGTTCGTGTAGTTCTTGACGACAAACCGTTGACAAAGAAACATTAAGGTTAAGTAGAAACTATTAATATCGTAGACTCTACGCAAGGTAATGGATATCTTATAAAAGCTGCCGACGACTCTATTGCGTTTTATCCTCGTCATAAATTAGTTGAAAGTAGTAATGGCAAACTTGCTGAAACCATTGACGAAGCAAAGCGAGGAGTGGTTATTGAAATACTTGGCTATAACATAAACGATGACACTTATAAAGTAAGATATGAAGGAGGCGTTGAAGATGTTATACCATCTAAGAACTTGAGAGAGTCGAAGCCAACACATCTTGGACTATTAGAGCGGGAGTACTGGAAAGACAAAAATATGCCAGAAAGAATAAGAAAATTCTTTCAAACTTTTCATTAAGATGTAAATCAGACAAAAATAATGTTTAGGTGAAGAGGTGAGATTTCACCTCTTTTTTTCACCTGTTTTTTCACCCTCGTGAATTTTCATGAATTTCCTTAAGATAGAAAAAATAAAGTTAGTTTTATTTTTTATTTTTTTATTTTGTATAAAAGATATGATTTCAACAATCGGTACAACAACAATTCAAGCTGCGAACGGCGGGACTGTCCACAACTACAGCACCAAACTCGTTAGTCATGAATCCTACGTCAATGTTGATAGAGATGAAAAGCTTTATTCCTTCTTCATATACTTTTGAAACAGAAATCCAGAAGATAAAGCAAGAACTTTTAACAAGTAATTTAGACTGTAGTGCGAAAGATGAAACAAATGAACAGTATCTTTATGAAATGGAGGACCTCATCGACCATTTGCCTAAACTACCTGAAATTCAGCAGCAAAAACTAACTATTCCTGAATTCGACGAAATTGAAGTCAAAGCAACTGACTCAGTAGAAATTAAGAAATTCATACGTAAAGTAAATTATGAATTCCTTGGTTTTCATTGCAACCATAAAGTTATGGACAAAGATTGCGACATGGTTTATAAAAATATTTCTGACCTTTACAAATCCGAAGAATTTAAGACATACGATAACTTTGTTTCATTAGTTGCAAAATGTGTTTGGGAAATAAGAGATAAAGATAGAAGAGGCAAAGTATGGAACGAACAAATAAGACCCGCTATGTTTGAGATGAAGAGAGCAATTGACGCTTTAGTTGTTTTAGCTGGTAATGTTTCAATGTATAACGCAAAAACGATGCCGCAATGTTCAAAATGTAAAGCAGCAATAAGAAAATATAACTACTCAGTCAAAGAGATAGAAAGAATGCGAAACGACTATGCAGACTTAAAGAAAGAAGCAGAAAAGCCAGCAGAAGATAAAATGGATATGTTGACATTTCTTAATAAAAACTATCCAACAGCAGAAGATTTCCTTCTGTCTGACGTCAAGAAGAAATATAAAGAGACTTTCGGCATGATTAAAACATTCAATGTACTAAAAGAAGAAATAGAAGCTACGAAATTGTTTAGGATTTCAAATATACATCGTACAATTCATGTAAAACGCTTGTGAAAAAAGAGGTGAAATTTCACCTCTTCACCTAAACATTATTTTTATTGAATTCAGCACAAAAATAATGAATTTCATTAGTTAGAAAAATAACGCTAATTTTTTTCTAAGAAAAATTTTTATTTTGTATGTAAAGACAGTAATGACAAACATTGAGTTTGAAACAGTTAGAAAGATAGACAATGACACCAAAGTGGTTAGAATAGGTGATTTAAACGTAAGATACTCAAAGAAATACAACAAATATTCTTTGTCAGACATTATATCTCCATCTGAAAAGAAAACAAACGACTGGGTTAGAAATGCTTCAACTCAGAAAATTTTGACAAGAAATCCTGAGCTTATGATATCAGTAGCATTTCATGGAACAAGAGCATATCTTATAGACAAAAGTCTTATACCAATAGTTTTGTTATGGTTAGACCCAGTTGTTGAATATAACTTCATAACATATGGTTCATTCGATACGGAACGTTGCAGTGAAGGCTTACTTTATATCGTTCAGAAACCGAAAGGACTTCAACACAAAAAGATATAAGATAGGAAGGACATATAATATATTACTCAAAGATATGACAGTACAGTCAATAAGTCAAGGTTGTGTTTGTTAATGATATGAGAGCTGCTGAAACAGAACTGCTTAAGTTTTTGAGAAAATGTATGGTGCTCCCACGAAAGGTAAAGAAACGTTTGAAGCAGATGAGATAGATAAAGCTATAAAATTATTTGACGAAGTTGCTGAAAAATACATGTAAAGCGTTTATTTTTGGTCTTTTTTGTGAAAGTCAGAAAAATAACGCTAATTTTTTCTAAAAATTTTTTTATTTGTATGTAAAGACAGTAATGTCAACATTAGAGAACACAACAATTTGCTATCGTTCATGAAGCCATAAATGAAGAATACGAATACATACAGTATAACAAACAATTGAGACTCATTCGTTCGGTCAAAGACGATATGTACCAGATGCAAAGTATAATGAACGCTCTTCGTTCTACAAAGCAAGCATATCATTGGTTTGAAAACCAACAGAAAAAAGAACTTTTAGAAGAATTTCCTCATATGATTGCTTCCCTCGGAAAACCGAGAGAAGAGATTCCGTACGAAAATCGCAAGAATTTGGCTCCTGGTTTGAAAGGTTATTATGTTCATAGACTTTTAGTAAACGCTGTAGCAATGTGGGCTTCACCTCGTTATGCTTGTTATATTTTCATGATGTTAGATGAACTATATAAAGCAGAACGTGGAGAGTTGGAAAAGAAACTTCAAGCAAAAGATGAAGTCATTGAATCCAAAGACAAAAGCATACAGAAAAGAATACCGCGTTCAGTACCAAAAGGAAAGGAAAAGAGTTATAAGTATATGATATATACTGAAAAGTTGGAGAAAGAAGAAGATAAAGATATGGTTATGTTACATTTAGTCAGAAGAAACAACAAGAGCTTTTATGACTTAGCTAAGATATATAAATCTGACAGAAAGTGGTTCTATCGTGAAAACTTACCGATTTCAATGACACCGAATGAACAAATAAAGGAAATTGTCAAAAATACTCTTCCTCAAACACACTATGACATCAAAGGTTGCACAATACTTACATTCAAAGAAGACTTAACATTACTGAAGGAAAAAATAACAGAATATTTCAATAACTTCAAAGAGGAAGAATAAAAAAATCTAAGCTAATTTTATTTTTTCTTAAATAGCTTCAGGGTCTATTTCTTCAACCATTTCACTTCCTTCGTCAATGTCAATAGAAGCTTCTTCAACCTTTGGTAAGAATTTCTGTATAACATCTTTGTTCGTTATTGTCTTCAGAGATGAAGGATAATATTTCACAGATGTTTCACCCTTCTTATATTCTTTCTGTTCGGAAAGATTCATAGCAATACTGAAGAAGTCAACGTTAGAGTTCTTTATGACAGTATAATGAGTATCTTTGACATTCACGAAGAAACTCTTTTGTTTCAAAACTACTGCTAACTCTTGTGAAGTATAACGTTTGCGGTCAATGACGATAGCTAATGGTCTGACATACTGACCAAACTTAGATTCTTTCACAAACTTCTTGTTAAAGATAACATTAACATTTGAAGCATTATTGAACTCATTCTTGATGGCAGTAGCGAGAGCATTGTATGAAAAGAACTTGCAATCTTGCATGTGTTTCATTAAAATAAAAATATTAAATTATTTTGAAAAATAACTTAAAAAATCTAATCTAATTTTTTCAAAAAATATTTTTTTATTTCCTACTAAAGATGTATCGGAAGTTGTCTAAGTTAGAACACTCGGAAATAAAACAACTTCTTACAGAAGCTAATATAGATGTTGCAAAGCATTACGCAACAAACAAAAAAGCACTCGCTGACATCCTCAATGACTATAATGGTGCAATAAGTTATGATAGAATTCATGAGTTCATAAAGCCGCAACGCGGCGAGGACGAAGTCCATGCAAGAGCATTTCCTTTAAATGACGTTGCTATTGACTTATATCATAGACGTTCAGTACCTCATGAAGTAAGAAGAGAAATGTTTGACATAACAAATGCAAACGTTGGTGAAACAAGAAGAAGAGACGACACACTAAAACAGAGAAGAGAGATGTTTAAGAGCGCTATAGAACAAGTTCGCAAAGCTAACGATGTCTTCGTTCCATTGACGACAAACCAAAAGAAGGTGAGAGATGGTTAAAGAAAGATGAAGAGAATAGGAAGAGGAATGTTAAGACAGGCAATAGACTCATTGACTTTAACATCGAAGCTTTAGATGAACCAAACAGAGACTACTTACACAAACATTTCGGTAAGGTTTTCATGAGACTCTTAGAGAAGATTAAAATAAACTCCAACAAAGATGGATGGTATGTTATAAACTTGGTGGAAAGTATGAATGTTCTACGTTAAACCTCAATAATATTGGAACATTACTACATCAGCTCTTGAAGGAGAACTTTATATCAGAGATAGAAGCAAATGCTGCAGGTATTGTTGAAATGCACTATGACTTCTTCTTGACAAACATAAAGAATCTTACGAAATAAAGATGTATGATTTAACAGAATATGAAGGCTTAACGATGTCAGATGTAAAGAAAGGCAAACCAAAAAAGAGACCATATAGAGATGAAAGCACACTGACAAATGACCAGAAAGCCATTTTGGAAGCTCTTAAGCAAACAGGAAACCCAGCACTTATAGAAAGCTTTTGGAAAGATAATGGTGAAAAGAAGTTTTATAAGAAGAGAAGCGGTCAGTTCTGGAAGTATCTTTGCACATTACCTATAAATCTTGAACGCTACCAAATCTTCAATGAACTGAACAAAAGAACTGCAACACTTATGACAGAAGATAACTGCTTCGTTTATGCTTGCATTCAGGCTGGAGTAAATGAAGAAACTATTGACCACATGAGAGAAGTCATTCGTGTTAGAGACTTTCCTCAAAGTAAAGTACAAGAAATTTCTGACGCAACAGGTATAGCATTTAATGTTACCATTGGTTACTTCAATGACTCAAGACATAATGAAATAAAGAGATACATACCAAAAGAATGTGAAACTGTTCGAACTATTGACTTACTTCTTGTTGAAGACCACTACATGCTAAATGAAAGATTACCAATGACAACATATTTCATTCGCAACTATATAGAAATCTTGAAGGAGTGTGGTGGAATGAACATTGAGAAACAGATGAAGATTTATACAAAGAGAGAGAACAAATATGTAGTTCGTTATGATAGAACAACACCGTTATGGGATGTTATGAAAACATTGTGGGAGTGCAAATATTTCGAACCTATTTCTTATGGAGAACTTTTCACATATACGACTGACTTATATAAACAGAACCTTGCACCATTTAAAGATTTGACATATGCTCCAAAGTATTGTGTACAACTGAAGAAGAAAGCCGAGTCAAAAGAAGTAAATAAAAATAAGTGCAAGTTCATTCCTGAGCACGTTTTCTTTGCTGACTTTGAGTGCAGTACGATGGCTTTCATAAAGCTTTTAACATATGTTATGACAGTGAAGATGGTTCAGTGAGTGAAAGCATTTGGGGTCAGAACTGTGCAACAGAATTTTTGGAAGCGACTTCCTGACAAGAGTTTAATATATTTCCATAACCTCAGTTATGATATAAACTTCATCTTAAGACACATGACAGAAGTGAAAGGAACTCCCATCATTAAAGGTTCACGAACAATGCAAATAACTGGCTTATATAAAGGAAGGGCAATTATTATAAAAGACTCTTACAGTGTTATAAATAAGAAGCTTAAACTATTTCCTGCTATGTTTAACTTACAAACAGGACCGAAAGAAGTATTTCCATACAACTACTACAGCAGTGTTTTGTTAGCAAATGACAACAGAACTGGTGTCATTTCTGAAGCGTGTAAGTTTATCCAGGATGCGGATACATTCATGAAAAACATAGATTCCATCAAAGGTTGCAGAATAGATGAGAACCACTTCGACTTAGAAAAGTATAGCACATTTATTGCAAACAAGATGTAAGAATTTTAAGAGAAGGTTTTGTTAAGTTCCGCAATGATATTGAAAGAATTTGATTTAAACGTTTATGACTACGTTAGTATTTGTTCAATTGCTAACAAATTATTTGAGAACAGAGTGTACTTCCCGAATGGAAATTTATATGACCTCTCAAATAAACCAAGAGAATTTATTTCACGCTGTATTCAAGGTGGAAGATGTATTGTCAGATAACATTAAACAAAAGAGCGAAAAGAAACTCATTGCTGATTTCGACGCTGTTTCATTATATCCATCAGCTATAGCAAGACTTTATACTTTAGAAGGTATTCCAAAGGTTATGAAGAAAGAAATGTTAAGCACAGAGTATCTCATGAGACATTTATTCGATGACGACCAAAAGGAACCCATTGGTGAAAAGTTTATGTCTGGCTTCTTTGTTCTCATTAAGATAACAGAGATTGGAATACATAGACACTTTCCTTTAATAGTTTGTGACCCTGAACTAAATCCAGAACTTAACGTTCCCAGAAGTTCAAACACTTGCTGTTTAATGTATGTTGACCATATAACATTACAAGACCTCATAAAATATCAAGGTGTCAAATGTGAAGTGTTGCAAGGATACTATTACGATGGAAACAGAGATATTAGAATAAGAGATGAAGTAAAGAAGTTGTTTGAGTTAAGGTTAAAGTATAAGAAAGAAGGAAATCCTTTGCAAGAAAATATAAAGCTCATTCTGAACAGTATTTATGGCAAAACTATTCTATCTCCTATTGAGTCAAAAATAACCATAGTAAATGACAAAGATGCTATAAGATATGCCATCAGAAACTACAACCATATAGTGAAGTTCGAAGGTTTGGATGGTTCAGATAAAACTATTTTCAAGCTAACGAAAAGCATTTGCAGACACTTTAACTTCTGTCCACTTGGTGTTAACATTCTGTCTATGTCGAAGAGAATAATGTGTGAAGTATTCTGTACTGCTGAGGACTTAGGAATGGACATCTTTTATAGCGATACGGACAGTATGCATCTCTACAATGAAGATATCCCTCGTTTAGCTGAAGAGTTTGAGAAACGTTATGGAAGAGTTCTCATTGGTAAAAACCTTGGTCAATTTCATAGCGACTTTGCAGAAATCACACCTGGAAAACAAAGTTTAGCATACAAGTCAATATTTTGTGGAAAGAAGACCTACATAGACTTACTCACTAACGATTTAAATGAAGTTGCATTCCATGCACGTTGCAAAGGTGTCAAACAAGACGTCCTTGCTTTAACAGCAAATGAAATGTTTTCTGACTCTGTTCAGTGTTTCTATGATGAAGATAAAGGTTTAATGGTTCCGCAAGGAAAATTTAACAAAGACTCTGAGTTCAGTGTTATGAAGTTATATAAAGCACTTCATGATGGTCAAGAGATTGGATTTGACTTATGTAAGTCTTCTAGTCCTTGCTTTGCTGAAAAGTTTAACTTCTCAATAACGACTAAAACAAGCTTTATTCGTAAGTTGAAGTTCTGAGGTCATTTATTTTTGTCAGCAGTGAGACCATTCATGATAAAAATAAGCCCATGTGGTCATTTACAATACTGCGATGGTAGAGTTTAAGAGTTGTGCTTCAATATAGAGACAGTCCTTATGGTCTGGAGGTAGCAAAACAGGTGCATTATGGTCATGAGTGGAGAACATGTCTATCCAAAACTCACGATTGAAGCCAGTAAGCTTGTAATACTTAGGATTTGGTAATGGTGAATTTCTTGTATGACCAATGAACTCATTTTCAACTCCTTTACTTAGATTTGAATATAATATTGCTTGTTTTCTATCCCAAATACCTGGAAATCTAATTTCGGAAAAATCATTTTTCCTCGGAAGCATTGCATCATAATTGAAAACATTTTTGAAATCATCACTTGGTTCAGAGATTTGAAATCTTATACGTAATGGATTTTCTTTCTTTTTAGCTACTTCATTGAATGGTGAATATATACAAAACTGACAGTCATGAGTTCCATCTTCATTTTCATTAAATTCATAATGAAAGTCTATAAGTTGTGGCTGACTACCTTCTTCTTTCAGTTGTGCAAAAACTCACGTAAAGGCTGTAAAGTTTGTACTTCAATGTTAAACTTTTTCTCGAACATTCATTAAATGAAATCATA